GTGATTCTGTATCTTCATACTTCTTAGCTCGTTCTGCGTGCTTGCCGGCCAGTATACAAATGGACTGCAAGGTTTTACCAAGACCCATATCTAGAATATGTTAGAATGACGCGGGAAGTTTTAACGAAATTCAAACATACCATCACAAAGAATCCCATGCAACTGATATTTAGCCAAGAACGCCAGCCAATTAACACCTTCTTGCTGATATTTGCGAAGCTCCGCCTTGATAGGAACAGGTATGGTGTACTGTTCAACTTTGCTACCATCAAGTAGTTGGGTGAGGAACTGTCGTTCCGTTTCGCGCCTCTTAAGCAGCTCCTCGGGGAAGCTGGTAGGATCAGGCAAACCAGCCTGAAAAATATGTAAACGTAGAGGATGTATACCAGGTAATAGCACAAACCTCCAAGGGAACCATCTTGATCAGGGACGCAAATGTGTTGGTAGTCGCAGAGCGAATGTCGTCATCGGGATCGCTCATGCGCCCCAGAACAGGGACGATAAGAAAGATGACGTAGGGTAGTGCTTTGATGTCGAGGTGCTGGACGATATCTGCGCGAAGTATGAGAGACAGAACATTAAAAACAGTTGAACACGTACGATAGATCGCTTCTGCAGCACCCTGACGATTTGACAGCACAATAGCGTCTCCTAGTAATGGAATGATCTTCTCGATGGCGAACAGCATAGCGTCGGAAGTCATCACATTACAGATGGTAGCGAAACAGCGTGCAGCTGCCTGTCGAATAATGGCATACCGGCTACGCAGCGCCATGGCGATAGCGGGGAACAACTCTGCAAGCTTGGGCCAAAGATCAGGGTGAAAGGAAGGTACAACGGCTTCGAGCACGCTGAGCGAGTCAATGACATCTTGTCCATATTGTTTGTCCATGAGGGCGTCAGCTTCGTGTGGTAATGCTGAGTAGAGGTCAGGAAAATCAGAAGCTCCGGAAATAATTTCGCACCTGTTGTGCATGCACTCAGCAAGCCTCCTGCCATGGAAATCCACATCTTTGGGATCACCTGAAGGAGCTGAGATCCAAACTTGTAAGACAGCTGATCAAATGCTAGGCAAGCTCCTCGTCTTGATAACTGTGCTGTTGCAGCGTCATCGCCCGACTTGGCACTATCAGCACCCTTCGAACTATCCTTACCGTTCTTTGCTGGCTGTGTCGTTTGCTTTGACCAAGAGGTAAGGGACAGGATACCCTTGTAGACGGATCGCGAATAGGCAAAGGTCGGTGTTTGCTCCACATCTTGACATAAGAATGTACACAAATTTTTGACGATTTTATCAGGTGGCTGGGTAATGCTGTGTTGGAAGCAGAAGTCGATGAATAGTGCCACTGCTACGGCTGAGCGGGTCTGGAGATCCAGATTTTCCTCGTTCTGGAACAAGGTAAGCTTTTTTTGGTAATCGAGAGTCAACAATCAACATACCTTAATGCCATTCATGATTCCCTTGACCACGGGACTAACTTTATCTGGGGTACTCCGGAACGCAACGAAGGCGGCCGCAAAAGCCGCTGAAACACGAGTATCGTGCTGTGCCTTGACCTCAGAATATTGTTCGATGCTGATCACGACCTTTTGTCTCTTCTCGGCAATAACTCCCAATTCGCGCTTCTTCGTACGCCCAAGGCTGTCCTTCAGTTTCATGTACATCGGACCAACCGCTTCTTCTGCAGTCTCGATGGTGAAACTGTTCGGTTTTGTGCCAGTGATATCAATCTCGTCACCAAGATGCGGAATCAAGGAGATGGGAATCTTGCAATCAGTTGCGAAGCAACGAAGGAGCGCAGCACACTCTGAGTGGATGCGGTGTAGCGTGAACGCCATCTCGTGATATGCGATCGGAGGCGTGCCCTGCAACCAAGCCAAGCACATCGTGCTGAGCTCTGCTGCAAGAGGAAACGTCTCGATGATGGGTGCAGTAGGCGATGTTGCGTCATATGCGCGGGCCCATTCCTCTGAGACGAGGGCAGCCAAGAATTTCTGAAGCATGCTGGTTGACTGCAAGTAATGCACGAGTATGGGCTGGAAAAGTTCGTCGATGGACTACAAATAAATCATCAGAAGCAAATCGACACGCGCTGAAGAACGCAGCACCTTGGGAGGCCAATAAATCATTAAATACGCCATGGAGGTAGCCGCCGCGATCCGAGCCTGCATGATTACCTCCGCACTGACCAACGATAGATCCTGGGCAAGCATGTTCTTGTCAACATTGTGTCTCTCCAGGGGGGCGGCGTCACTGTCATCTTCCGTGAAGGCAGGGTAATAAAACGTCGAGCAATCGATAGGAGCGCCAAGCGGCGTCATCATGGTCGAGTACCAATCAAGGACGGTTTGCTGCTTCACCAACTTCTTCATCCATCCAGGCACATCCGCTACGACCTCGAGCGCCGTCCGCCAGGCTGTCAAAGTGATAGCGCGAATATCCGCTCGCTCTTCCACAACTAAATTCTGGAAAAGAAGGCGAAGGAATGGCGTGACGATCCATTCGCGGGGAAGAGAAGTTACGGTCATGAAGGAAAGCAAAGTCTTGACTACGGCGAGACGAACATTGGGGATCGTATGTCGGAAGAACGGGAAGAGTGTGGGTGCCAATTCCGTGAGCGGGAGGCTAATCAGGATCGTTAGATATAACTGAGAACAATCAAGAGAAACTTACGACACGCTAGCTTGTGCAAGGATATCGATGACCTTGCTATAAGTTACGAGTTTACCTACCGCCCGTGAGTACTACCCTGTAAGATGACAATTAGAGTCTTACCCAATAAATCCATCACTGCGCCAACACTTGAGCTCAAGTCATCCTTCATGCCACGTAGGCAGTCCCAGAGAACTAAAAGCACTCTATCCAGAGATTCTGGAAGCTGCTCGACAAGATGACCCGCAACTGGAAGCAAACAAGATGCGGCAACAGCACGAACATCATCATCAGGATCACTGAGACTGCATGGCCAGACGTCAGGAAGGTGACCATGAATACTACGTGACACACTTACCCGAGCACTGCGGCATCGACGACGCCCTGCAAAATCTCTTTTCCTGTATCACCAGCTGTCTCAAAAAGATCACTTCGCACGGCGACCTCGTACTTGATACCAAGAAGACCTGCGTGCCGAACCTCCCATACATGGCTACCATCGCCTTTCTTGCTCTTGGTTGGTTTGTGCCCCAACGGGAAGTCTTGTCGGATCATCTGCAATAGTATGGAATGGACGTGCTTTACAGACTGCTGAGGCATGTGTAGCAGTAGAGATGCGAGTGTTTGTGACACCGTCTCACGAACAGGTGCAACAACCTAGAGTGCACTCAGGACGTGTGCTATGCTTGAGTGTATAAAGAGAGAGAAAACGAACCTGATCAGAGACGAAGTCTCCGAAACGGTCGAGAACGAAAATGCACAAAAGTTTTGCGGCTAAGTCATTACACCAACGCTCGTGCGCAAGGGAATTTTCCTCCGCGGATAAACCGTCTAAACTCTGTCGTCAAGAACAAGCTCGATGCTATCACGAACAAATGTCACCTTTCATGCCACCCGATGATCCTTGGACCTTGAGCAACTCGCGCAAAGCCATGGCAGCACCATGTCTCGATTCCCAATTTGCAGAGAACAAGTCGACCTCTAAGAGGGCTACAATGCCCTGCCACACCCAAGCCCCTGGAATGACCTCCAGCGCATGTGATTGTTGGGCTGCTTTCGGTGATACAGCGCCACCCTTTGACGGGTCTATGATAACCTTCTCCTGAACGAATGATTTAACAGTGTCAACAGGGCTATCTAATCGTGATCTTGGCGCGTCCTGTGGTTCTGCTGATACCAGTCGCGCTCTGAGGGATTAAGATAGTGAGATATATAAGGAACTGTTGTTGCAATTGGACTGACTTATTTGATGGCCCTGCAGGAGTTGCGTTGTACTTGGCGCCGGCAGGGGGTGGAGGGGGTGCCGCAACAAATGCAGAGTTGCCTGGTTTCCGTTTACGTTTCAGGCGGTTTCGTTCGCGTGCTGAAAGTCCATTAAGACACTCTCCCTCTGTTACGGGTGACGACGCAGCGGGTGTTGTGCTCTTTGGGCGAGATAGTGATGGAGGTGGCGACCGTTCGCGTTTCACTGGAGCCTCGACCTCCATCGGGGAGTCTATAGGGGTAGCGGTGTCCTCTCTTTTAGGGCAAATTTCGTTGTCATGATCAGTTTCAGTCTCCCCTTCGATGGCGAGTTCCTTGTCCAGGTCCATGTCATCTGCAGCACCCACACTTTCAAGGAAGTCGAGACCTAGCCGACCCATGGCCTCCTTACGAGCTCTTTTAACCTCTGCTGCATTTGCAAGGATGCCCGTTGGCTTTGAGAACTCTTTCCCCGATGATGCAAGAAGTAGCACGCCTTTCTGCATGAGTTCTTGTACGGAAAATGCAGGAAAATCGGGGGAAATTATATCTAGATCTGGGAGAGGTTTGATGTCTACAGCCTGTGGTTGCCACACTGGCACAAGGGAGAATATTTGTGAGAGTGCATTCGATGCGGCCGACCTTGTTTCATGACTCTTTGAATGCAAATAAGGTAAAATCTGAGCAAGCGAAAATTAGCATGAAGAAACATGGAGTGGAACACGTTATACGAACTCGAGCCACGACGGCCATTAACTCAGACCATGCTGAGGAGTCCCCGAGGGGGACATGGTGACGAGTTGACTTTATATCGTCTTGAATTGCAACATCACTGATTACACTTTTGGCTGCAAGTTGGGCAAGTTGTTTGGCTGCTGTATTCCTCACGGAGGACGAAGATCCTGTATCAAGAAGAAGAAGGAGCCTGTCCAACCTGGAAGCAGCGTTAGATTATTCGTATGCAATAACGCTGCGGACGAAAGGCGTACCTCGAAGTCATATCCGAAAAAGGAATGCGGTCAACGCCGTTCGGCGCGGGCCGGATGCAATGGATTACTTTGAGAGGAAATGATCGTCTGGGGAATTTTCTCACGGCCGCTCCTTCCCCGTTGTCCTTTTTATCTTCAGCCACGCGTGACGGAAAATGGTTTCTGTCACGTAACTGTTCGCGTGTTTGTGACACTTCGATGCCTTTCACACGTGGAGTGTTGAAGTCCGCAGAGCAAAACGCTCATGTAGCCGCCGCCAGACGTGCATCTTTGTCTCTTAATTTTGTTTGCAGGTTATCAGGCTCTTTCGATTCATGAGTCTTGAATTTTTTGACCAACTCCTGGCAGAGTTGAGTGACGAAAGTCACCCGTCCACAGTTGGTAAGCGATTCTTCGAAAAGATACCAATTTTCCTGGTCACGATCACAACTAGACTTACGGTGCTGCGGCTCGGTATACTTCGAGTTTTACGCAGCGGCTCGTTCATTGCATGACAACGTCGACTCGGGGACGTCAATGAAACCTTTCATCGATAGGGCGTATCAAGAAATGAGCCGCTTACCGCCGTCCGAGTCCCTTTGCTGGCGAAGGCTATACACAGACGCCTGCCTCTTATATGCTGTATCCGAAGTTTCTGATTTGGTACAGGATGATGCAGCAGCTACAGAAGCTGTTGCCGTCTTGGATCGCGCTATTATTATAGCAGGCGCTCCTGGCAGATTGGATTCTATCCATCAACTCATCAAAGATATCCAAGAGAACCATCTAACGCTGAAACCACTCAGAGCCTCTCCTGGTCACAAACAATCACTGACACAGATGTACCATTCCAGCGCCTTTTCCCTTGGTGTTCCTTGCATTCACCCTCCACCAAATGCCTTCGGGAGGGAGTGGTCACAAAAGCCATTTGTACTTCAACGTCATGGTCACGTACAAGGTTGGAAAGCCTTAAGTTCGTGGGCGTCTATTGACTATCTCCGTTCCGTGGCGGGCGCTGGTCGTCTTGTGCCTGTCGAAGTTGGGAAAGACTACAGGACTGAGGAATGGACCCAAAGGCTGATGAGCTGGGACTGTTTTTTTGCAGTCCCTCGACTTTCCTGAACACCCAGCTCAACCCCAGAATGAGGTGTCATACCTTGCACAACATAACCTCTTGATGCAATTCCCGGCTCTCGAAGGGGACATTGGTATTCCCGAATACGTTTATGCGTGCCCTGATCCCCCATCTTGTTATCCTGCTTACAAACCTCCGGGAAATGCGGATGGGTTGATCATCAATGCATGGCTCGGCCCAAGGGGTACCATTTCCCCGGCCCATACTGTGAGTCCCTTCAAGATTAGATACCATGTCGATGCACGAGTATACTAATATTATCTGATAGGACCCCTTCTTCAATTGTTATGGTGAACGACTTCTTTGCCCATTATTTTACTTGTATATTGAATCTTCTTGCGCTAGCCCAAGTGGTCGGCCGCAAGACCGTCTGGCTCGCACCGCCTGATGTTTCCGATTTGATGTACCCATTCGATACATCGACATCTGACACTGCTGATAAATCTCGCAATCCGGCAGTCAACGTTACGGAGCCATCAATGTGCAATACATCTCGGGTGGATGTGTTTCCCGATTCCCCGGAGGCAGAGAAAGCATCGCGAGATGCTTTCCCTGATTTTTGGAAAGGGGTGCCGCAGAAAGCTATGTGCATGACCTTGGCCCCCGGTGATGTGCTATTTTTTCCTCCTGGATGGTGGCATGCGATGCGGAGTGAAGAGACGAGTTTTTCTGTTTCGATGTGGTTTTAGTTGTGGTTTTAAGATGGCGTTGTGTACGTAGATACGTTGATGGTGACCATTAAACGAGCAATGCGAAAGTCGGAGAATGAGATGATCGATCTGCTGTGAGTCGGAGCCTGTGACTTGTCCACTGTGGAAGCGTCGGATAGACCGCGTGAGTGTACAGCATTTATTGGACCGGATGGTACCGACGACTACCTGGTTCAGAATAATCATTGTTGGGAACAATACATTATTTGTTCGACGCCCTAGAAAGCCCAGCTGACCGTCGACCCTACTCCTCTTGCTTTATCCTCTAAATGTCAGCCTCGGACGCTGACCGTGCTGCTGGGCGCACGTCTCCATTCCCGGGTACTACTAGTAGACATGGCGCTTTATCTCCTTTGCTCTCTGCCTCACTAACGGAAGAACACATCGCGGAAGCACTTCGACAGTCATCCGACAATGGCGCTACCCTTGATCTCACACACAGGAACCTGACAGATGTCGGTGAGGATGGTGCAAAACACCTGGCAACCATGGGCAGGAACGGCTCTCTCGATGACGAGAGTTCAGTATTCAGGTACGTTGCTGCGACGCGTTGTTACCGCAACTTCATATACAAACTACTTTAGGATTGCATTGGGGTACAATCGCCTTGCTACGCTCCCCACTGCATTTGCCCTACTGTCTCGCTTGAGATATTTGAATTTGCAGAACAACAGTTTCACCTCTTTCCCCGATGTGGTGAGTAGCCTTGAAGTTCACGCGTTAAACGGTCGCTGAACACGACACAGTTGACAGTCATGCCATCCCTAGAGATTCTGGACATCAGTCGAAACAAAATTAAAAGACTACCGGGCCAATCAGGCTCCCTGATCAACCTGAGAGTACGTCCCGTGGTCCTGCACTTCCTCTTAGTGCCAAACGTGTTCTTGTCAGGTTTTCTGCCTATCACGCAACAAAATAACTCGCATCCCGGGGTACTTGACAGACTTTCGTGAACTGGACGTCTTGAAGGTAGACCACAATCCCATAGAGTGGCCGCCGAAGTATGTCATGGAAACGCCAGATGGGGGAAGGGAGTGGATAACATTCATGCAGAAGTGGATGAGAAATAATTCTCGACCTCGTTTGGACGTGAAACAATCCAGCGTCGACTCGTTCCTCAGTGCGAATGCTGCTTTGGACAACTCTATGTAAGGATCGAGTCTATCATACTCGAATGCCAGCTGACGCACCTACAGCGAAGACCAAATACAGTCCTGGTCTCATATACAGGAGGATTCAGACTCAGGTGTTACGCCCCATGCTCGTTCCTTCTCTATCGATGCCAACTTTTCTCCTCTTCCTGGACCTACAAAGCCAACATCGCCGCGTTTCGACCGCCCGCCACGTCTACGCCTTGGGGTGCTTCCTCCGTTCAAAGTGCCACCTCGATCAGTGACTATTGGGAGCTACCTGCCTACTCCTGCCGAGTCCGTGTCTTCTACAGATGATGACAGTACAGCCGTGCCAGAGGGTCCACAGCATGGTCGTAATGCATCATTTACCGGTTCAGCCCGTGATCGCCGTCCAGCACTGTTCGGGAAGAAGAGTCTGCCTGATCTCCGTGCAGCCAACGTGAGTGATGGTGTCAATAAGCAGACTGTCAGGGGGGCAAGCAAAGGAGTCCTCGCACCTGATCTGCTGTCGCAAGACGAATTTTCCATGCCCTCGCCTCTTTCACATCGTCAAGACTCATCATCATCTTCTGACGGTTCCTCGCATTTCCAAAGCAGGAAGGCATATGCTCAGACACCTCCTACATCTGCATCTCCAACCTCTGGCGATGTTCCTCGGCCGGTTCCCGAAGTCGAACGCCATGCATACTTCAAGCGCCTCTCGGCGCTTCCTGCTACGGCCATGATTAATAATCTCTCATGCTCCCTACGCTCCCTTGTAGAATGTGCACGGTCGCTGTTCTTCGCTGTTTCACAGGTGTATCAGGCACTTTCACACTACATCACTTACACCAACGACCGACAACTCTCCTCTGTGCTGAAGAAAGTCACCGACCCTGCGTATACTTACATGATGCAGTTGAACGGTGCACTCGATCGGTTTGATGCAATTTGCAAGAAAACAACGCCGCCTCCTTCACTCTGCCGAGCACTTGTTGAGAGTAGTAGAGATACCGCGGCCATGTTTGGCAAAGCTATTGCGATGATGTCACTGCAGTTGAACATCCTTGCGTCTAAAGACGATGACCGATATATGCGGTCATTGGTGCTCATCTTTTACGGTGCCATGGCCGAGATATCGAGTGCGTGGCAGTCGATGGTTCCACATATTGAAGCTATCAAACCTCACCTTTCGGAACGCCGGCGACACCATGTAGTGAAGCCCCAACCAGTCCCGAATCCTAGTCCCGAGCTTCCTCCTTCTTCAGCACCACCGTCGTACTCCCCGTTCAATCCGCCGCCGCCGCCGCACAGTATTCCAATCGCCAGATCACGGCCCACACAATCACTTGGTAGAGCAAGAACCACGCGGCGTCATGCTGGGTCATTCAGCTCAAAAGACGTGGAGATTGGTAAATCCTTGCCATCATATGACCTGCCAGTGCCATTTGGCGCAGTTGTAAACTCCACGGCGACGACACTTCGAGCAGGACAACGTCATCCGGCGCTACCGCTTTCAGCATCGACTTCGAGCTTGACTCCCTCGTTGATGAATTCTAGCATACCTTGGACGTCATTGCTGTCTGGGCAGCACTCCCGGCAAGCCTCCCAAACATCACTGACACCATCAGCTGCGCCTTCATCGCCTTATGTACCTGCCCGACGCCCAATACTCGAAATACCTCCTTCACGGACACTCGTCGACAAAGACGCCCTCGACGCGGTGGAAGTGGCAGTGGAGGCAGCACCAGCAGTATGGGAGATGCTGAAAGAGATCGTGGACAATTTATCCGAAGGAGCTGAAGAATTCCGCAACACGCTGCTTAAGGCTAAATCCACCACAGAGCGCCTGCGTACTAATATAAACGCAATGCGGTGCGGAGACCCAGGGGCTGACAGGAAAAGGCTCCGCGAGGACGCACACGTGTTCGTCAAGGTGATTCATCCCTCTGATTGCCTTGTCTTAGCCCATTCCTGTGGTGATCCACCTGTCTTTTCAATTTCATTTGGGTCATCTGTGACGCTGACTACCGGTATTTTTTTCTACAGATTGTGGTCAAATTGTCAAATCTGGTTAAAACGCACGGCACGTCCCATGCTGTGTTCTCAGATCTTTTAGGCAAGATGTTGGCGTTGACAAATGCCACGCAAGAGTTTGTGATGCTCCTGCATGTCTCGTCATTCTCGCCGTCGACGCCACGACCATATTCTCCCATGACTGCTATCTTGGCGCCATCCGCAGTTGGATTGATCGCCGAGGATGGGCGGCTAGGTGCAAATTTATCCAGGAGCCGCAGTTCCACGCAGCCGAAGGCATTGAAAGTGTTTGGTCACATAACGGCCCCTCGGAGCGCTCTTCCAAACCAGTCTTTTAATATACCCCGTATACGGGACACGAGTGATGAAGGCTGAGCCCTGGTGGCTTTGATTAATTGTTATATTCACGACTCATCCTCACTCCGCATGACGCATACCTGCAGTTATTGTAGCATCATCATACCAATATCTCATATTACATATTCGACTAGTATTGTCTCTTGCTTTTAAAATTCCATGCCTATATTATGCTGGATCCTACATAAAGGTGATGTGTATGTAAAATAAGAGGGTCCCAAAGCATAAGAAGATCTATCAGAACGATACAATGAGGATGCGGATGTAATGGTAGATTCATGAGATATCATTTTGTTTGCGTGCATGAACGAGTCGTCAACCAGCTATAATCACCCCATGCGCGCCTCCGTCTCACCGCACACCATCACCTAGCATACGATCGATTTCGGCTCTGATTTCGGCGAGATTCGCCTTGAGCGTCTTGGCGTCTTCGAACTTGCGATGCGCCATCGCCTCGCCGACAAAGGAGTCGAGCAGAGCCTCTTGTTCTAGAAGCGGTTGTAGTGTATGGGCGAGGTCTGAATCAGGGTCCACAAGTGGTGTCTCGAAAGGCACAGGTGACGATGTTGAATCACGTTTCTTAGGTTTGGGCAGGGACTGCGCACCGTGCTAGTCAGTTCAGAGTATCAAAGGAAACGTGTTTCACGTACCTGCAATGGGAACATATGCTTCTGCAAAAATAGATTCGCCCTGCTGAGGACTGCGAGCTGCACGTGGTTCTGGGAAGACCCTGTATTGCAAGGAATGGCACGTATCCGTTTGGCGAAAGCATCGTATTGAGCGAAGGCATCTAGGAGGCGCTTCCGTGCTGCAGACGCTTCTTTAGTTGGCTGGTCGTCATTGCTAGATGCAAAGGTAATATTGTCAATCTGGGAAGAACCAGAGTCCACTTAATACGTACCTGAGTGTAAGAAGAAGGTCCTGAAACTGCGGAATTGCATCCTCGATCTCTTTCTCGAGACTAATAAACGCCTATTTCCAAATTAGTACCACGCAAGCTCAATAGGCTATAGTAACCAACTTACATCATAGAACCTTACAAACGGCGGCACGCTCGCCATCTCCTGCCAATATTGCTGCCGCGTGAGCACAGGTCTGCAGCTACGGCATATCCTGACGCCGCGAAGAAATTTCTCCTCCTCGCCGGCGCCCGCACGACGTACACCGTAATCGACGCCCTCCCCGACCTCCTCGATACGCCGCGTCTTGGCATCGACGACGAAGAGCACTGAACAGGGGCTCTGACGCTGCGGGAGCTTTGGAGGAAGACTGCAGATGATGGTACCACAGAGGCGACAATGGTGTTTACGGTTCGTAAGTGGGTGAAAAGATGCGCTGGAGGAATGTAAGTGAGATTGTCATGTTCGAACGGTGGTGATTTTAGAGATTTAGGAAGACATACATGCATAGAGGACATTTAGATACGGCGGCATCATCCTGCCAAGGTGTTATCCGCTGTTCTGCAGCTGGAAAAGAAATTGTTTTGGTCAATACCCAATTCAACGAAATGAGCAATGTCATATACCTCGAGTATCACCGTTAGAGCCCTGTATCATTTGGCTTTGCAATACCCCTTTCCACAGTTCACCCGCATCAATATTCTTAAGGTCAAGATTAAAGAACGACGAGGCCCTCCTCTTCTCCATTCCTCTTCCATTAACGCTGACCTCATCTTTCCTCGCATTCACGCTCTTCTCAACAGAATTTTCCACAGGGAAATGCAAAGCGATGAGCTTTTCGAGCCTGCGCTCCAGCTTTGTCCGTTCCATCAGCCCCTCGTCAGCACGTTTCTTCCGGTATTCAGCAAATTCATCAGTACGGGGCCGATACAGACCCTTGGGCTGAAAGCCTGGACGGTAGGGCGCTGCGGACCGCGCAGGGGTTGATATGCGTGTGTGTGCAGAGGAATATGCAGGTGTAGATGAGGTGGAGGGGAGGGACGGAGTTGACGCTGCAGGAGAGGCCGAACCCGAGGCGGTTGCTGATACCGGGGCTGATGTAGAAGCTGGCGGTAGAGGTGCTGGTGTGGGTGTAGGTGAATAGAGTGTCGGTGGTGGCAGGGGTGCAGCCATCGAAGACGAGCGCGGGGGTGGACTGATCATGTTTTGAGGGAAAGGTGCGCTTTCTCTTCGAAATAAGACTGGCGGAGGTAGTTTACCATTATCTGATATCACTGATGTAACTGAGGTGATACGGCTGTGCATCACGGGTGAATGCGTTGCATCGAGTTGACGGCTGGATGTTGATGGTGCGGGTGAGTGGGTGAGGGGTGGGTGGAGAGGCGAAACGAGCGGGGATTTCGCAGCGGGCGGACGGAGGCGCCTGAACCTGGATGGTTTCGGAGAAGCAGCAGGTAGGTTTGTTATGGAGGGTACAGGAGATGAAATCGGTAATTCGATTTCTTTGTCTTTTCCGTTTGTACGTGGAACTGGCTCCTCGTCGGCCGCAGGGGCATGGACAGGATCTGGCAGCGCAATATCGATGCTTGCTGGGGAAGGTGATTCGGTACTAGTCTGTGAGCCATTGGTGGTTGGTGAGGAAGGAAGGTCCCTCGAATGTACGATATCGACGCTGGGTGCTCGTGTCTTGTCTGTTACAACTGTAATGACACTTGGATACTCTGTGGAGACTGTCAGAACCTTCTCAGACTCATAATATTCGTGTGGACGAGTGAGTGTAGGAGCTGGGATAGAAGGGACGATAGATGTGATGCTCGATGGGCGGGACATGGGCGGCGGGGAGACATTAGGAACCAGCTGAATAGATGAGACTGCTCGGGAATGTCGTTTCGACTTCGGCTTTTTACATTTAAATAAGAGTGAATGAGAATTTAAGATGATCAACGCACTTGGTAGGGCTGATACGGGACATTAGGCGGTGAATCCATAACTCAGCTGAGCAATTGGATATACAAAATATCTGCAAAGTAACCTGTAGTAAGTCGGTGGACACGCTAAGCGTCCGAGTAGCGTGAACAGAGGATGGTGCACAGGAAAACCCAAAACACCCGTCGGAATGACGACGACCAAAATCAGAATCGTGAGCCCGTCAGGGCACTGCCAGTGCTTGTGCAGCGTGAGCGCCTTCTCACCGGCGTCCTCTAACAACCGCAGCTAACCGCAGGCGCCTCACCGCTACCCTCTCTCATTAAGGGCATTACATAATCGGAGACTATTCCTTAGATCGACTTAAATTTTAGCTCGCTCCACATCTACATCATGAATAGTACAATATACAGTTCAACTACCCATTATCAGCAGGGATACATAGTGCTACATGCTATAAGGAATGAGCAGCCCAAACAATACACCAAAATTGAAAGATTTGTGATAAGATACATTTCATAGTGACGGCCTCATACCAGGAACATGCCAGCTACCACACCCACAAGGCCAACCAAGACGTTTGTCCCACGATCATTCATCTTTACCACACCACTCGACTGCGTCTGTGTAGCTTGTGCTCCCGTACTCGTGGTCGAGGATGTGGTCCCGTTGAGCTGGATTGCTAGCGCCTTGAATGCAGCAAAGTTGTTGGCTCCGGACTCCACTGCGTTCACAGAGAACACCATGCCTTGCCCACAGTGTCCAGACTGTTTACAATATACCCAGACCGGTGCAGTCTAAGGCACTCAATGTCAGCACAGAAAGTCATATGATGTCAAGTTCCTTACATCATTGATCTGGACCGTATACGTCGGGAATGTCGTCGCATTAGATGCAACAGCCATGCTAACAGCGCTGTCAGTTTCACATATCACTTGACCAACAAAAGCGCTTACAATCCAGAATCAAACCCAACTTGTCCACTGGTAGACGTCAGAGTAAGCGCGCGGCACGGATCCGCAAACGTGCTCTGCGTGGCCGTGTGATTCTTTTGCATGAATTGGAACGTTACCGTATCTCCAATTTGTGCAGTAATATTCGACGGCGTATACGTCAGGGTCGAGCCGCCAACGATAACTACATGATCTGCGCTTGTTCCGCTTGTTGGTGCTGCGCTGCCAGGGAACGAACCGTAGGTTGTAGTCACAGTTTGCCCGCCACCAGTGATAGTCGCGGTTGCAGTGACAACCCCAGTGGGAGCAGTTGCAGTCGTTGAAACGGACGAGGACGAGGAAGCCGTGGTATTGCCCATGGCCGCTGCTTGAAATGCAGCAAACTGAGTGCCCGGATTGATGGCAAAGACCATGCCCTGTTGGCAGTGATTGGCTTGTTTGCAGTACACCCAAACTGGGTTCGTATCCTGCACCGTATACTGCGCTGCAGGGAACGGGCCGTCGGTATTACTGGCTGATACTGGCATGCTGTGTACGCCGATATATGTCAGTCTAAATTTATACAACGACGTGCTCGTACTTACTAGCCAGAGTCAAATCCATTGGGCGCCTTCACACATGGCTGGGCTAAAGTAGATTGGGTAGCCGTATGGTTGGATTGTTTAAAAGTGAAAATGATGGTATCTCCAGGATTTGCATTCTTCACATTGATGAGTAATGAATACCGCGAAATTGACTACAGAGACGTACAACAAACTGCGGATCATATCTTAATGGTCCTCCACCAACAGTAACGTTAAACTGGGCGGCCTGCGCCAGTGACACTGCACCCAAGGCCAAAAATAAGCTTGAGAACATCGTGGTTGGTCAAGTTCGAATGTTTTGAAGTGTCAGAAATAGAATGAGGCGTCAAGCCCAAAAGTTGAACGCGCGCAGCGACGAGGGTCAGGAAGTAAAGGTCAAGACAGAAAAACTGAAACAGCAAACAACAAGACGAAAGTCCTTTATGTGCGCCATTTGTGCCAAGGTCCATATAAAAAAAGAGGACAACAGAGGATGATCGAATCCTGTTGTGGAAAGTGAACAATGCTCATTGCCATGCGACCGATTGTCCCAATGCCAAGAGAGCCTTTTTTGGGAGAACTATTGTTCGCCACGCTCACGACCTGAGATCCCCGTTTCGTTGAACGCTAACATTATAGAACTCATACAATGCTACGAAGGACACTGCTAGTGTACAACATCCCAAGTAAGTCCAGTAAATACCCGCGACAAAATTAACAGCGTCCACAGGTGAACCTCCCCAATAGTTATAAAAAGAGCCCAAGAGTCAAAACTAAGAGCCCAATAGTCAAAACTCATGGCATCGTCACCTTCAGCATAATATTCCATGAGGAATAACCCCCACTTCCTGATCACAGGCTTGACGATGTCTTCCCATTCTCTCTTAAAGAATTTACCACCTTTCTCGACGCGTGTGAATGCGAATATCTCCTTGTGTGTTTTAGGATATCCACTACAAAGTTCACCGCAGGGTTTAGGAACAGCCTTGTCCTGGTATTTTAAATCCGAATAGAGGACTTTAGGAAAATCGGGATGCAGATAAGCAACGTGCGTCACTAGGTCCCAAAGTTCAATATGCACCAATTGTTCGAGTTTTGCCGCCATCAGACCGAAGGCGCCCTGATCATTACTGTCGATGAGTGACTGTATCAAGGTTTTGTCATCGTCTTTAGCTTCGATTATGGTCTTGGGCCACCACCCGCGAACGTCTTTTATAGACAGTGGATGTTTCGTTTGCCACTGTTTGTGGCGTTTCTTGACGTTCTCACTAAACCCAATCTTCAACACGAGCTTTCCTTCGTAATCCGGGTCTTTGTAAGGGTTCGGATTTCAGGCCAATGTTTCTACAATGAGTCAAGGAATACCTACCGGACACGTCAAGCGCATATACATAGCCTGGTTCCTTGTGCCTCGACGAAAGACCCTTTTTGATGGCGTTTCGAAGTTTCTGCTGGGTATCCAGTTGCAGGTATTCAGGTATAAATTCTACTGAACGTTCAAAATAGACCGGCGAAATCAGCAACAAACACATTACCAGAAAGGCGGGCAGAAAGCTCTTTCTGCACTTTGGTCAACTCGACATCGACATGTTTCACATTTCCTCTTGTATGGACACGACAGAAAACCGGTTGGGAAGAATCCTTTGTGAGTTGTCCGGGGGCAGTCAAGGTCCCATGTTCACATTGGCGTCCTGTCGATTTGGCTATGGCACTACATTGCGGTGTTCTCCGGACGGTAGTAGGGGTGATGTTACATTGGGATGGATGCTCATGATTGTGTTGAACAGGAGGTTTCGAATTCACACTTGTTGTTGGCTTTGCAGTGGTGTCTCTCGATTGACGGCTCTGTGGACCCTTCCCATTCGCCGATGGAATAGAAGGAGGAGGGCCAGTATCTTGCTTATCATGATGGTGGCAAAAACTATTAGGGGCTTTGACCAGATTGTGGCACCGACGATTCTCCGTCTTGAGAAGGCCATTGCATTGTGTCTTGGCTTGCTCCGATATTCCTGTGTCTGTAATGTCTTCCGCGTTAGCTTGTCATGGGGCTCGAGACCAGGAATTTCGTACCTTGGTCAACATAGAGGCGATTAGGGGCTTTGGCCGATTTCAAGGATTGACTTTTTGTCTTCTCGGCAATGGATTTGCGCTGTGTCTCGACATGCTCTGATTTTTCTGTGTACAAGATGTGTTCCGCGTTATGCTCAGAGCTTATCATGAAACGTGAGATCAGGTATTTCCAAGGCCCAAAAATAACACTTACATTTCTGAGATCTTCACCACAGTCGAGATGATTTCCAGAGAGAGGCTTGACTCCGATTTGTCTGTCGTCTCTTTCTTATGACTGATGGGTCTGGACCGCGGTTTACTAAGACGCGGGGGCGTGTTGTCGGGCGTCAAAAGCCCTGTCAGGGGCAGAAAAGGAATAGTAGTTGACTGGTCACTAGACCATTCAGAAAGGTTTTCTAAGACGGTCAGCGGCTCCGTGTCCTTTGGGGCGTCGGAACGTCGGACAGGGGTACGAGGTGGAGAGGTAGAACGAAAGTCGGAGTTGGGCCGTGACCGAGAGTCCGGGGGCGTTACCAGCACAAGGATTTGCTTGTTGCGGGGTGGTGTCGAAGGAATGTTTCCAGCCAATGGCATCACACTAGCGGTCTTTGGCATAATGACTGCATCATCGTGATCGTCATCCTCCAGAGCACTTGTCCTGCAGTGTCCCTGGTAGCGACTTGTAGCCATGGCGGGATGGTGGGGCGAGAATAAGAATAAGAGGCGTAGTGTAACGGTGCAATCACATAATGCCATCCATAAGAAATGAATACCTGGAATGATAGATGTCTTCCCGCGTCTCGTTGGACATTGGAACTAGGCAAGATATCTCGGCAGTGATGATGTGCCTGCCTAATCCCACGCCAACATCGCAAATCCCTCGCACAGGACGAAGTATAAGGTTTTGGAGAGACAATAAATAGTTATGTTAGCGAGACTCGGCCCTAGAGTTATATCGTCACAAGTGGAATTCCAACCTCGGTTATACGCTACGCTGATCACAATCGAAGTCCGTGATGCGCCAGATCAAGGTCCGAACAGAAGTCAGACTGACAGTTCTGGGGTACCTCCAGATAGCTACCATGCCCTAACTGGCAAATCAGCACCGCACAAAGGACGCGTTATGAGCTTCCACAGAGAATGGGGAGTATTAACCATGTACAGAAGGTGTATGTACTCCCAAATTGATGCGGCGGGCGGCTGTCATGTGTCACATACGGCGGACAAGCCTGCCACGATCATGTCAGACTTGAGGCATCGATGCTTGATGATTATCTCAAACGATTTCTACCGCGGGTCATGTCGCAAAGTGAGGTAAAGCTTGGGGGCCGGGGCCCTGAGGACGGCATCACCTGCTGTAAATGTAGCGCATGTGCATACGTCACACATACAGCGATTTGGGAACACTACTTAGTAGTAGGACTACACACAAGTAACCAAACACTGGTGAAATTCCGCTTCCTCGCACTCCGGCAGACTGATCAGTTTTTGAACAGGTTTGAAAGCACGCAAGCTTGTACACGCACCTTGGTACCATCAAACATTTCATATCATCTTGTATCACCACCACTCACTCGCACACACGGAGTCACTAGCTTCATCACTGGTATCAGTCAGACGGGAACGGGTCCCTCCATCAGCCAACAAAATGGGACCACCCACCAATTAATCCTACTGCAACCTTTCGACTCCTGTACCTGCCCGCTTCTGCGGCCGAGTACGCGTCTTTGTCTTCGTACCGATAATCCATACCTACCACAAGCGTACATATAAGTCGTCTCATCTTCGATGGGTTGCGCGTCTAAAACGGCCGGCGGGAACGGCGGACTGATGGGGCACGTCCCACATCAGGGATTCGCGAACTCAGAGATGCGCAGGGGCACTGGGGGCCCCCTAGACTAGATAGTATTGTCCTCCATAGAGTATTACTCTCCATAGGACATGAAAATTGAATCAAAAAAAAAAAAAAAAAAAACCAAACACTGAAGTACTGATAGTAAGTTGTACAATTGTATGTCGAAAGTTTCCCGATCACACCTCTAGAGTTTACACAGTTTCAACCATGAAGAGTGAAATAAACCTGCACACAATGATTTGACCAATTCATCGGTGCAGAGGATACCTTGGGCGCCGGGGACCACTCTTGGACATCCATCAATATTGCCATGCGAACCGATCGTCTCAATGCAGACCGTCGGCATTGCCTTTTGGGGGGAACCATTGTATGCCACGGTATGCCACGGTAGACCTGAGTAACGTCTTGTAACGTCCAAGTGACGTCCCAGCGTTTACGAGTTGAACGTTGAACGCTAACATTGTAGAACTCATACATTGCTACGAAGGACACTAAAATACAGGCTTAGTAGTGTACAACATCCCAAGTAAATCCAGTAAATATCCGCGACGTATCAAAATGAATAGCATCCACAGGTGAACCTCGGCAATAGTTATAAAAGGAGTCGAGCCCAAGAGTCATTAGCAAAACTCATGCTTCACTTGTACGTCACCTTCAGCATAATATTCCATGAGGAATTATCCTCACTTCCTGCTCACAGGCTTGAAGAAAGAGGAATCAGAAGTGTAGTATAGCATACGCAGATGCGTCAAATACATATAGATCTTCCGATTGCCAGTCAGACTAGAGTCATCTAAAAACATCGTTCTTCGGAACCATAGGTGACTACACGCGATACATTGTCTGTACGAACTCGATGGCTAGGATTCAGTGCAGCAGGTCCAGCAGACACCACGTTCGACGGGATACCACCCTTCCGCGCACTGAGGTTCCTCGGAAGAGCATATCAATTGACAGATTCCAGTGGTGCCATCAGTAGCGGCCTTCACCCCAGCGACAGCGGCGAGAATGGCAAGAATGGCGAATTGAATAGACTTCATGGTATCTGGTATGCGAGTTTATTTAGTGATGGTCATCAGTGTCAGTGCGAGGACACCACACACCGACAAAAGTTTGAATGTGCGGTTGAGTACGCAAGGGAGCTATAGCAACTTGAAGTCCAGGAAAAGCTGCACTGTGGAAGACGTCAATTGAGTGAAACAGATACAGCCGCAGCGTTGCCCGCATGCAAGGCTACTCACCAAATGTTTCAAGTCGTTTGTTCTGAGGATTTTGCCATACGACCGCGTTCAATTTATATTTTTTGCTGTTAGTGCAGAATGATGGAATTCGCTAGGACGTTGGCCGTCACCCGCGCCAGGGCAGTGGTTCTACTTCAAACTGACGAGACCGGAACTCTGAACACGCCGAACCGCTTCAATGTAAAACGTCTACTTCACGTGTGCTCACCTCATGGAATGGAACTTGTCACGTTGCGAACCGAATTCAAATAGGCCGCATCTGGTCGCGATATAACTGAGGCTTTGTAACAGGAAAAACATGCTAGTCAAAGTTGAATGTTGAACGTCATTATATTTGAATTCGGTTTGCAATTGCAACGCGACAAGTTCCATTTCATGACGTAAGCACGCGTAGGCACACGTGAGGGAAACGTTTTGCATTGAAGCGGTTCGGCGTGTTCAGAGTCCCGGTCTCGTCAATTTGAAGTAGAACCACTGCCTCTGGCGCGGTTGACGGTCAACGTCCTAGCGAATTCCATCATTCTGCACCAACAGCAAGAAATATAAATTGAACGCGATCGTACTATGGGAAAATCCTCAGAACAAACGACTTGAAACATTTGGTGAGTGGCCTTGCGTGTAGGCAACGCTGCAGCTTTATCTGTTTCACTCACTTGACGTCTTCCACAGTGCAGCTTTTCCTGGACTTCAAGTTGCTATAGCTCCCTTGCGTACTCAACCGCACATTCAAACTTTTGTCGGTGCGTGGTGTCCTCGCACTGACACTGATGACCATCACTAAATAAACTCGCATACCAGATACCATGAAGTCTATTCAATTCGCCATTCTTGCCATTCTCGCCGCTGTCGCTGGGGTGAAGGCCGCTACTGATGGCACCACTGGAATCTGTCAATTGATATGCTCTTCCGAGGAACCTCAGTGCGCGGAAGGGTGGTATCCCGTCGAACGTGGTGTCTGCTGGACCTGCTGCACTGAATCCTAGCCATCGAGTTCGTACAGACAATGTATCGCGTGTAGTCACCTATGGTTCCGAAGAGCGATGTTTTTAGATGACTCTAGTCTGACTGGCAATCGGAAGATCTATATGTATTTGATGCATTTGCGTATGACGCAGCTGTTGCAGGCACATCCGGATATTGCAAGCGCATCGGTGGTCAACTTTGCTTGAAAACATAGGCCAGTCTCTGTGTTTTTGTGCACTTGGTTATTAATTAATTGTTAACTGCCACTTGTAAGTATGAATTACAAGTGCTTGCCGCTGCGCGGCTCGTTGGATGGATCTAGTTCAAATCTAATAACAATTCTTTATACACGACGTTGGACGTATTGAAATCGTCATTTGGTTTGTCTTCTGAAAATAGGATGCGTGAATCGTCTCGTTGACGGATCCGTGAAAGGGCTGTGTACAGTTGACCGTGTGCGAAGACTTCGCAGCGAAGGTTGAGAACGGTCTTGTCAAGGGTTAGACCTTGGCAACCATTGAAAGTCGTTGCATATGCAAGACGGAGGGGAAATTGTAGACGATGAACAGTCTAACTTACGCGTGGGGGGTGTGAATTCGAAGTGGATGCGGAGGATGTATTGAGTATCTCCAAGTTGACCTGTCCTGTTGTTGATGACTCGAACCTTGACATAACGGCGGTGCAATTGTTGTATGATGAGGCGTGCATTCTTCACCAGTTCCTTCTGAACAGACATATTGCGCCTAAGTGAGCAAATACAGCCCTGCTTGAGATAAAGTTCGTGCTTTGGAATTCCATTTTGTGAGAGAATTGCGAGAAAATCAGGTGTCGCTTCAGGGTGATCTGCTATGAGCTGATCATCTTCTTTTACAGTGTCAGCACTGTAGTATACGACTGTGTGAAATATCATCAAGACGGATTCATGGATGAACCGGGCATAATAGATCAAGTCGTAAAACACAAATGATGCGTGGGCAAACTGATGAAGAACGACTCAGAATTTATATTTTTCGTTGTGCGTAAATGACGTCGACATGTTTTGGAGCTGCGGTGTTCAAACAGCAAGATGACGCAGATGAAAGGGTCAGCTTATAAGGAATTGATGATGTGCTCGCAACCAAATGAAGTAAAGTGGAGTTTTATTTCCGATCGGCAATGTTGTAAGTGATGGAGCGAAGCTAATGATGGTAACGTTAGTAGGTTTCTGAATGGTAGTGGTAGTAGAAATTGGTCAAGTAAGCGCACGTGAGACGCACGCGGGTGGACGCCGCGCTCCAAGTCATCATAAGATTATATATTGTGGATGCGCGCATTCGGAACACGATTCAGATGACTGTGACAATACTCGGATTAATCAGTCTAGTCCGACTCTGAGCGCTGAGCTATGTACCCAATCCTTGTCAGCGAGCTCTCACAACGGACAAGCAATCCTGTGCTTCGAACGGTCGTTCATGATATACAGGCTCTCAAAGATGAGAGGGCAAATGGAGGCACATGGTTGGTTCAACGTCATGTTTCACATCTGCTTGGCACCCAGTTTGGATCCCAGCTCCATCAGGTGTTCCCGAAGATGTGGATTTCAATGGCAGGAGGCTTGCTGAGCACATGCACAACAGGTACGAGATCATTTTCGGAGCCTCTGATTTTCCCGGCCTCTGCTCAGCGTTACAACACGAAGCTGACACCCTCAGGCCCGTGGACAAACAATATTCATTGACTCGCTCGATGACCTCAAAGCCGTTGTGCCTTCCTTTCGCCCTGATCTTTGGCCCAAGCTTCCAGAGTTGTTCCCCGATATTACAATGGCGCTGCATAGCAGATATGCTATTATTCGGCACGCAGCTGTACGCAGTTTCGCTACCATAGAATCGCCCTTTGATGCTGTCCATCTTCCATCGCTCATTGTCTGCCCCCCTACTCTTACCGGCGGTCACTGGTACTATGAGATTCTAAAATACTCCGAGAACTTGCAACTCATTATCTACACCAACAACTCCAAGGAACGCGCAAGGCTTCTTCCTAAACTGTCCAAGAAAGATGCGGTCATCACCTCATACGAAATTGTGCAGGACGATATTGTGAGCCTAAGAGATTACAGCTGGCTATACCGCATCCTGGACGAAGGACACACGATTAAGAACGCTAATCACAAAAGCTACAAGGGCATACATGCACAGCATCGTCTCATTCTTTTGGGCACTCCAATCCAGAATAACGTGTTGGAGCTTTGGAATATTTTTGACTTCTTGATGCCTGGCTTCATTGGGACCGAAAAGTCGTTCAACGATCGATTCAGAAGCCAATCCTGTCAAATCGTGATGGAAACGCGAAGACTAGTGAAGCTGGTAAGTGACGCGTCAGAGAGCTAGTCTGCGGCTACTAACCAAATTCTCTGTAGCTGCTCTTGCTCTCGAGGCTTTGCATAAGCAAGTCCTACCATTCCTTTACGCCGACTGAAAGAGGGTGTCTTGAATGACCTACCCCCGAAGATCATTCAGGACTAAGTACTACTGTGAGCTGTCAGTTTGTGCAAAAAACACTCTACGACGACTTCTCCAGCTCACAGGCCAAGATGAATGCGGAGGATGCCATCCAAGGAGCTGTCAAGAATGCTCCACAACAGCATGTTTTTCAATCACTACAGTATTCAGCACGCACCGAAATTACTTGCTCTACGGTATTTTATTTCTCTATGTATGTAGTTGCAATACTCAAATGTGGGACAGGCAACTACTCACAGATTGCGGTATTGGAGACAGTCCTTCGGTTACTGGTGAAAGTGGGAAGACCGATCCTGCGGAGAGCTTGTTGGAGTCGATAGTGCATTCCCCTAATCGTGCTCTAATCTTCTGTCAGATGAAGCAGATGTTGGATATCATCGAAAATGATCTCATCAAGCAATACACGCCTTCCGTCACATACATGCGACTCAATGGCGGAACTGACCCCAACAAGCGCCATGCTACTGTTCAGACATTCAACTCAGTACCGACTGCCTCTTATTGACAACGCACGTCGGTGAGCTTGGTCTGACCCTGACTGGGGCGGATACTGTGATATTTGTGGAGCATAATTGGCATCCTATGAAGGCTATGGACAGAGTTCACCGCGTTGAACAAAATAAGGTCGTCAATGTATATCGCTTGATCACGAAGGGCACACTGGAAGAGAAGATCATGAGGTTAGTTCTATATTTATTCTTTTTTTGTATCTCGGGACTGGCGAATTGTAGTACGTAGGTACCGACTTGGGACTAGGCCCGGGCTGGTCCGAGTTGGTGGTCGTCGTATGATATGAGTAGACCTAGTAATTGACATCACACCTCACTTTGGATTCTGAACGTTGCTGTCAACGCTTGTTATAATAGAACTCATACAATGCTACGACGAGTCAGCATACCAAAATACAGGCCAGTGTACAACATCAGATCCTGAGTCTAATACTAAATATCCGCGACGTATGAACCTCCGCAATAAATATAACCTCCGCAATAAATATAACCTCCGCAATAAATATAAAGAGGAATCAAGTCCAAGAGTCATTCGCAAAATTCATGCACCACCTTAAGTCGGGGCAAAATATTCCATGAGAAATAATCCCCACTTCCTTATCACAGGTTTGATGATATCCTCCCATTCCCTCCCGAAGAACTCACCTTCCCTGACGCGCGTGAATGAGAATACTTCCTGGTGTTTGGTCCCATCTGTAAATTCGCAAACTTAAGCACCTGCCCCGCAACCATTCAGTGGGTATAACTTACTACAGTCACGGCAGGGTTTAGGAGCAGCCTTTGGCAGGCGTGGGATGTCCGAAAAGTGGACGTCAGGAAAATTGCGATGCAGATAGGGAGCATGTGTTGCCAGATCATTGAGCTCGATATGCACCAACCGTTCGAGTTGTTCAGCCATCGGACCCTTGGCGCCCTGGCGGTTATTTCCAATGAGCTCCTGTATCGACATCTCGTTATCGTCTTTAGCTTCGATTATGGTCCCTGGCCACCACCCGCGAACATCTTTTATGGAAGAACGACATTTATTCTTCCATTCTGCATGGCGTTTCTTGACGTCGTTGCTGTACCCAATCTTCAACGAGAGCTTTCCCTCATTCTCGGGGTCTTGTCAAGGGCTCAGCTTGCAGGCTAACGTTTTATGATGGGTCAAGGAAAACCTACCGAATACGTTTAGCGTATACACATAGCCTGGTATCCTGAACCTTTCCGAAATCTCTCTTGTGATGGCATTTCGGAGTCGCTTCTGAGTATCGGGTTGCAGATATTCAGGAATATAGTCTATTGAACGTTCAAAAAGGTCCAACGGAATCGGCAACAATCACCTTACCACAAAAGTGGACGAAAACCTCTTCCCGACCGACTGGCTGCACTTTGAACCCCTCGTTATCAGCGTGTGTCACAATCCCCACCAGAGCTGGAACATGGTAACGACAATAGATTAGTTGGGAAGAATCCTTTGTGAGTTGTCCGGCGATAATCGAGACCCGCTGTTGACATCGACGTCCTTTCGACTTGGATTTAGCATTGCATTGCACTGTTAACCGGACGATAGGTGTGGTGGGGGTACGTAGCGTGAGTTCACGGCATTGCGAATTCACATCTGTTGTCGGCTTCGGGGCGGTAGGGGCGGTAGGGGTATTAGTACTTTGAGATCCATGCTGATGGCAGTATTGAGCCGGACGTTTGACTGAACGTCGGCATTGAACGCCACGTAATGTGAGTCCACGGCATTGCGAATTCACATCTGTTGTCGACTTCGGTGCGGTGGGTGTAGTAGGGGTATTAGTACTTTGTGATTCATGCTGATGGCAGTATTGAGCCGGAGGTTTGATTGAACGTCGGCACTGAATGCCACGCAGTGTGAGTCCATGGCACCGCGAATTCACTTCTATTGTCAATGTCGATGCGATAGGTGTCGTAAGGGTGTTATTGCCTTGGTATCCATGCTGATAATGGTATTGAACTGGAGATTTGACTGGAGGACGGCACTGAATGCCATGCAGTGTGAGTTCATGGCACTGTGAGTCCACTTCTGTCGTCGGCTGTGGTGCGATAGACGTGGTAGGGGTGTTATTGCTTTGATATCCATGCTGATAACAGTATTGAACCGGAGGTTTGACTGAACGTTGGCATTGGGTACCACGTAGTGTGAGTCCATGGCATTGCAGATTTACGTCTCTTGTTGGCGTCGCAACGGTATCCTGGGATTGACGACGCTGCGGACCCCTCACATTCACAGATGAATTAGAGGGAGGGCCGGTATCCTGGTCAATATGGTAGATGCAATAACAATTAGGGGCTTTGACCGATTTAAAGCATCGACGTTTCGTCTTCTTGGTAATGCCATTGCATTGTGTCGTAACTGGCTCTGATATTCTGGTGTTCTGAATGACTTCCGCGTGAAGTTCGGAACTTGTCGTGCGACTTGAGGTCAGGAATTTCTGAAGGCCGAGAAATAACACTCACGTTTCTAAGGTCTTCACCACAGTCGAGGTGATTTCTAGAGAGAGGCTCGACTCTGATTTGTCTGTCGTCTCTTCCTTATGACTGATAGGTACGGATCTTGGTTTACTGAGACGCGGAGGCGTGTTGTCGGGCGTCAAAAGTCCTGTCAGAGGCAGAAAAGGAACAGTAGTTGACTGGTCGCTAGACCATGCAGATGGGTTTCCTGAGACGGTCAGCGGCTTCGTGTCCTTTGGGATGTCGGGACGTCGGACAGGGGTATGAGGTGGAGAGGTGAAACGAATTGCAGAGGAGTTGGGTCGTGACCGAGAGTCCGGGGTCGCGAGAGGCGTTACCAGCCCAAGGACTTGCTTGTTGCGGGGCGGTGTCGAAGGAATGTTCCCAGCCAATGGCGTCACACTAGCAGTCTGTGGCATAATGACTGCATCATCGCGATCGTCATCCTCCAGAGCACTTGTCCAGCAGTGTCCCTGGTAGTGACTTGTAGTCATGGCAGGATGGTGGGGCGAGAAGAAGAATAAGAGGCGTAGTGTAATCACATAATGTCATCCATAAGAAATAAATACCTGGAAGGATAGATGCCCTCCAACGTCTCGTTGGATATTGGAACTAGGAAGGCCATAAGATATCTTGGCAGTGATGATATGCCCAGTCTAATCCCATGCCAACGCTGCAAATCCCTCGCACAGGACGATGTATAGGTTTGGAGAAATGATAGATCAGGTCGGACAGAAAATGGCAACCTTGTACCAAGAACAAAAAGGAACCTTTGCGACTGATTTCTCATGCTATCCGGACTTCTGATAGACAGATAGCACATGCCGGTTTCTCGTGTTCCTGCATTCAAGTCGGCTGATCCACTGACAATAATTCAATAATTTCATTTCCAGGAACAAGCAGAGGAGTGAGCAACGTCGGTGTTCCCACTCGCAAGTCGTATCACTGAGTGCAAGGACCTTTCACTAAACATCCAAAACGGCAGGTCATCTAGAAATAGTCATGTTAGCGAGACTCAAACCTAGAATTATATCATCACAAGGGGAATGCCAACCTCAGCTATATCGTAACGCTGCACTGATCACAATAGAAGTCCGTGATGCGCCAGATCAAGGTCCGAACAGGAGTCAGACTGACAGGTGCCTCCTGGTGCCTCCAGAAAGTGCCCAAGCCGGCGAATCAGCACCGCACAAAGGACGCGTTGTGAAGAATGACGAGCGGCGAGTCACATACGGCGGAAAAGGTCGCTACGATCAGACTTGATGCATGATGCATGATGATGATGATGATCTCGAACGATTTCATCCACCACGGGTCACATCATCCACGTCGTAAGTGAGGCCTTGAGGACGGCATCACCTGCTGTAAGTGCAGCGTATGTACATACTACACACTAACCAAACACTGATCATGATGCAGATGAGTTGTACAATTGTATCCGATGGAAGTTTCCTGATCACACGCCTCTCAAACTAGTGCTGACTAAGCGAATGTGCCCCTTAAGTAGCGGTAACCATCTTATCACACTGGAATTTCTTGGTCGATTAGAGCGGACTTTTACTGATTGCTTTGAAGCTTGAGCGCTTGAGCTCTGGTAGTTAAGTAAATAAGAAACGACTCTTCATTTGTCTATAGTCTTTAGTCTGTCCAATGCAAGTCCAAGGGAGATTAAGACTGTTATGACGACTATTTGTTGCGGCAGTGTTTCTGGTACAATTGTCACCATCAGAGTCGTCGCACAGGACCGAATCCGTCAGAATTACAAAGTTCTTCGAGAGTCAAACCTATTACCGACGCAAGAAGCTCGGATAGAAAGCATGCCACTCTGTGGCTTGCACCGTGGATATCAATTGAGGGGTATAAGGCTTCCCATTGGCTCCTCTGAAGGCGATGGTGTTGCACATGATAGCTCAAGCATAGTATTCCGATACAAATTTGCCCCATTTCTCGATGACGGGTTTCACGAGAAGTTCCCACTCTCGCCCCTTGCAACGTCCCTTCTCAGGACGTGGAAGTGCGAATATTTCCCTGTGCATAGCACCACCTGGACCCAGCGTCAAAAATCCTATATTGCTAGCATAATAAATGTGACGATTGCTCACAATCAAGACAGGGCTTCATCGTAGCCTTCTTCCGGGGACCCCGAAGTAGAAGGAGAGGTGTCTGAATTGTCGATTTTCGGAAACTTGGGGTCTAGGTAGGGTGTGTGGACCACCAAGTCCGCAAGCTCTATATGCACCAACCTCTCCACACGGTGGCACAATGGCCCCGGCTCTCCTGCCTTGATGTTTCCTGTAAGCAGGCTCCCATTGGTGCCGTCATCGTCACTCTCGTCTTCGACCGTGCCTGGCCACCATCCCCGGACAATTGGCACCTTCGAACCACACTGTTTGCCCCATTGATCCAGTCGCTTTGTGAGATTTACAGCGCGCCCGACTTTGAGCTGAATTACACCAGGACGTTTCGGGTCTAACATGAACGCCAAAGAAGATGATATAAATATCAAGAGAAGCTTGAAAATTCAGAGCGACGAACCTCGGATTTCGTACGTGTAGATATAACCGGGAACGTCCGAAGTAGAAGCAGCTTTCTCCATTTCGACTCTAAGCGCCAGCTGGGTATCGCGTTGGAGGTATTGTGGTATATAATCTGCCCAGTATTGAAGAGCGTGTCAGACAAGATGAATATGGCGCTCACCACTAAATTCTACAAATGTATCTACCATGCCTTTCCGTCTGATATAAAATCCGGTTTGCGCATGAAACATTGCGTCACGGTGCTGATGACAATACACGACAGGTATTGGGTTGATATGGGAGTGGGTCGACGGAAGCTTGACTTGGCGGGAGCACTGCTTCCCGAGCTTTGTCATGCTGCTACATTGCGCGGTGTTCTTGATCGCCAGAGGTGATAATGGGGAAGGGGGTACAGAAGCAGCACGCGGTCGAGACTTAGGTGTGATATCGAGCGCTGGATGCGGGCACATTCCAACGGAGATAGAGGGATGGGCCATGATGCCAGGAGAAAGAAGGGAATCCGAGTGAGGACGCGATGGTGCTGGCAGTGCCATGGTATTGAGCGCGTGCTGCATCGTCAACGATTGTTTCGCCAATTGAGGAGATGGCATGGCCACCACAAAGGTAGGCGGCTTTGGTAGTGGGGGTAATACGCCCTTGCTGTTCGGAGAGGATTGCCCGCTGTGTATGGGTTGTCGCTTCGTCGCGTCAAGTAGCGCGTTCACTGCCAACTTTTCGGGATTGAAACCCCCTATAAAACTACTTGCCTGATTCCCGTTGGCAGGGAGAGGGTCAGGTAGTCGCTTGCTCTCGTTTGACTTGCCGGCGAGCGCCATGGCATCGAATGCCTGGACAAGATCATAGCGTTTTGGTGGTATCGGTGGTGCATATGAAGTCATAGTATTACAGGGAGAAGAGAAAGGCGCAAGGCGCCTGCAATAGCAAGGCCGTGCACACGAGGAGATCAAGACAATAATGGAAGTCAGCTGCGGGTGACTCGAGGCAGGGCGAAGATTCGCATATGTACATGAGAAAGAGGACAAGTCAGTCTGATGTTACCATTCACCGCATTCGGCCTTGTCCGTTCGTTGATTGCTTCTTCGTATAAAAAGGATTATCCCACCCCACATGACTCGATGTTCCTTTCTAACTCCCATTACCTTTGTTACTACGACGCTTCAAGTTCGCTCAGGTAAGTCCCACTGGCAATAATTTGTACGGCTTTTGCTGTCGGTCTGCTCCATAAAAGATGAAACGCACTGGGCTCTGAAATAAATAGATGTTATGCACTACGCTCCAACTAGAGCGGCGGCCTAGAAAACCGTTAACTGAATAAATCAACTTTCATTGTTTTTGTTATACCTCCTCGAACCGATCGATATTGACTTTTCTCCAGTCAAACGACACGTGGCATGCCGCGCTATGCGCCACCCGGACCCGGTTGCTACGCGGAGTGACCAGTCCCGTGTTACTCGTCCGGAAATCCTCGGCCCCAGAAATTGCGTCACTTCAAGCCTATGCAAGGTACCTCGATGAGCCGATCTTTGTTAGTTCCAACAGTTGTTCTTTCGCTGACACCATCTGTCAATCTAACACTGCGCCTGCTACTCACTCCTCTGAATATCCATGTATGTTCCGATTCAGTTCAATACCCCTCGTTCAACAAAAACTTATCTCCCGTCGTGTAGTCCAAATTCTAACTTATTAAAGCGCCCACTGTTCACGAATCACAAACATGCTGTCGCTATCACGCTCTGGCCTCTACGCGTTTACCCGTTCGACATCAATATGAACGCTTGGATACCGCCGCCTATGCATATGAAGGACCATCGACATTTACAGTTATATTAATACATCACACATACAGTCTTCACGTTTGTTAATAAAAATTGCCCCGCCCGGCGTCGGGCAATGTATCATTCATACCACGCTACTCTACTAAAAGTTCATCTCGAGTGGGATAGATATGCTAAATAATGCATGTTTCACGACAGCGGATCTCCCGACGAGGAACTTCCAACACTTGGCGTGTTTTTTCCTCCTAGATTCACCTTCTGTGACGAATGGGATAGGCTCATTCTAGAAACGAGAAGAACTCAGTCTTAGTTGGAAAGACTCAACTACGACACATGCATGCCTAGAAACGAGAGAAGAACTACGCATCATTAGGTACGTGTAGGTAGACGTGAAATAAGTATGCTGATTTCAGTCTTGGTTGGAAAGACTGAGGGAGAATAATCGGCGGGGAGAGGAATTAATACACTGATTGAGAACGTGAATCAAAGGTGAACGTGTACGACTCGGAGCCATGTAACGAGGAGTGATTGCGTATGTAAAAGAGAAGGATGAGTACGCATAAGAGTGACGTCGAGAGCTATATCTTGGTATTGGTACGGACTATGAAGAATATGGTATGGATCTAATTGTGACATATCGTTAGACATGTGCCAAGGCAGTAAGGCAGGACTAACTCACAACCATCAAACTGAGAGAAACACCACAGGTATTTTGTGGCCGAAATTCTTTTAACTCGTTATCCAGGTCGAATTTAGTACTCACAGTGCTCAAGTAGGCAATGCGGAGGATTCAAAAGTGTGTCGGACGCCTGTAGAGTTTGGTGCAGTCTCCAATCCCATTTGCCGGAGCTCGATGTCCGTGCTCGTCGTTGGGATGCGGGTACTATCTGTTTCAATAGAACGTCGAGAACACGACGCTGAACTTTGGCCTGTGGGTCTCTAGTTGATGATAGGTCACGCGAGACCAATTACGCGGGACCACGGTAAGAATTTCATCGAGGATGTGTGCTGCATACACTCGTATTGACGGTGACGGTGAGGAGAGACCCGTGATCCACAGAAGGTAGTTTATAGTAGTGTTCTATGTGATCTCAGGTGCGCGATAGATGAGGCAACGGAGGTTCAGTATCGCTACCAGTGAATCCAGTTGCTCCGTATCGAAATCGCCCTAATGCTGAGAAGATCTTAGATCTCATTGTGACGTACGAGGGTCAACCCTGACTCACCTGTGTACGCGGCAGGTGAATTCCGCTGACACGCCTTCTATGAGGAGAAATCGGTACAAGACTCGAGGAATCATCCGACTCCATCAGCATGCTCCCATCAGATTGCATCCCGACCATCTCTGAGCTAGGTTTACAGAGCACGCGTTGACAAAGTCCAGAAAAACCGAATCCGCCAGGTTTTTGGACACATCAAAGAGGCGCTGCACGGTGGCAAGCTCTCTGAATCAATATCCAGGATTGGGTGATGAGCCACATTCCCTTGTTCAACAGAGCTCATCACTGACACGGATGTGAAATGGGGACTGTACCATTGGAACTTCATGGCCAAATCTTGATAGACTCGGAAGAAAAACTGATCATGCGCATGGCAGCATGAGCGCTGAGCGGCTGAGCCTGAGGCTCCGCTGAGCTCTGATCACTTGCAAACTGAAGGACTGATGTGAGGTATTACTTATGTAAGCAACCAAACAACACATCAACAAGCCGGCTGCGGTGACGCGTCACGATCTTCAACTTCAACTTATACTTACCTACTGGGCCGCACTGGCACATACAACACAGTTCACTGAGATCGGGGTCTCATGTACAACTCCTCCCTCATGAGAATGCAAGATCCAGGTATCAAGCTTTCAAGAGTCGAGCTTTCAGGCACGGCAGCAAATTGTTACCTCGAACCTTCAATTTGGTGCTGGGAAGTGTTACAGCAGAGCCACTTGCATATTGCTACGTAAATGCTTACCCTGTTCTTGTATTCGTTCTTTGGGCTCCCTCGCTGTACTTTCTACCACTCTCATTTGACTTTTTGCAGCCCCTCTTTTTATGTATGCCCATGTCCTTTCGCGCTCTTCTGTTATTGTATACACTTTCCTCTTACTACAGGACCGGCGGCTCAGCTTAGAGTTGTCTGTGGTGTGGTCGAGTGTCCAGTAGTCAGTTGTGACACCGTGTGTTTTGTTTTACTGGCTGCTGTGATTCTAATTTCGTGCAGTGCACTAACAGGCTGTATGGACAGCTTCAAAGCACACGCAGGACTGAAGGAGGATACCAAATCAATTGTAACAAGTTGCACATACTAAGTATGGATAGCAGGGAGGAGAAGGGCCAATGAAAATGATAGTAGGACGGTGGCCAGCACACGAAGAGTATAGTAATGTATCGTGGTTGTGAATGCGTAAAATTATATAGGTTGGGACGCCCTTTAGGAGTGTCTACGGCGACACTTGTCTCCGTAATGTATTTCCCGGATGTGCCGGCGGATTGTATCTCTCCTGATGGTTTTTGGAGGCGAACAAATGTGGCATTGCACCTGACTAGCGGATGGCTGCTTCTTACGGAGATGTTGTGATGATATATGCGTGAGCATGCTCTTGATAGTATTCACAGAAAAGTCACACTTGCCTTGATGGTCAGTCCACAAGCATGGAATCTGTGTGGGAAAACCGTCGTTTGAAGGTTGTCCAACAGCACTATTGAACGAGTTGATGTTCCGAATAATAGGGATTATGAGGGATTCATACCTAAGAATGTTGGGCTGACCGATTTGTTGATCAAGGAGTGGAAGTGGTACCGAGACATCACTTGGAAGTGGGCCTGAATCATCACTTTCGGATAGGCCCGCGTCATGTAGACCAACAGGAGCGAGTACTTGGTCATTGCTCGTCGAGTTCATGCCATACATGACTTGATGTTGAGTATCAGCGGGCGTAGGATCCTTGTATGAATTCACTAGAGCAGAAGGCAGGTAGTCCTGCTGAGTCGACTGACCCTACAGCCAAATGTTAGAGCACTAACATTTACGAGCACAGACAAAACGTACATCATCGGCAGTCGCTTGTGATTGCCCTGCTTGTGATGCCTTGACATGATTGTACAGCTCTGAATCCTGCCTGTACAATGGATCAGCACCGAGAGGAAGTGTAGTATTAGTGCAGACACACCAGTAAAGGTAAGACATTCTGCAATACGCTGTGGACGGGGATGTTCTTGAAATCTATATAAAGTGAGCAAAAAGTTGCGTAGCACCAGAAGAAACCATGTAGGCCAACAGCCAAAGGGCATGTGCAGGCCAGGAACCGGTAACATATATCGGCGAACTAGGACAAAGTGAGCTAATAGTTAGAGCCATCCACCAGAGATCTGTCGGGATGAACAAAGTCGATTGCAAAAAGCAGAGGCCAAAAGCCAGAGAATAGGAGTCGATCAGGCAGGTCAGGCCAACGGGCGTGTCAAGGCGAGCCGAAACTTCATGAATCAAGTTGGAGTGAGTTTGGCTCTCGATGTGTCAACACTTCCACGCGGTTGTGAGCCTGGAACATGAAATCCTGGCCCGCTACTAACAAATATCCGTCTCGGACGTGGCCCGAGGGATCTGCGTCAGCCAACTTATGAGGGGAGTTAGGGTTAGTGAATAATATTGACATGCCACTGGAAGAATCGATTCGCGAGGTCATCATGATAGTCTGCCAATCTGCAGCTCACCTTCCTAAAACACCGCCCGTGGGTTGGCCTGCGTTTTCATCCAATCAGTTGCAAGGCCATCAGTACTTAGCATCAGGGAACCGATGAGTGCTTCAGGGTAGATTGCGGGACGGGTAAAGTTGGTTTTATTGGTAAAACGCCAAAACACGTGACCTCGCTGACACATCAGCAACGCGACGCGTCTTACTTACCAGTACTAACGCTCAACGCGCAGATCTGCAGCTCCCGTTCCGTCGTCTTCGCACTACAGGATGTACCGCACCTGTACCTGCACTTCAGGACCACTTGTAAGCACAGAAACTACTCACCGACGGAGCTCGCCGGGCCCCCTTGTGTCGCCGTGTCGCGTCTCCCATCAACCTCGCGCTGTTGTTGCGACGCGATTCCGTCGAAATTTCGCGTGCGCACATGCAGAAAGACGGCATGGTTTATGTTTTTTTCTCTGTCCATAATGTACAGCTATATATACGTGCACCCATGCAATATACATGTTTAAATTTGCTTAATTGTTTGGCGAAAATGAGCGAGTGTGCCCGCCCGCCCTATCCATGTAAAATTCCGCCGCCGGAGCTCTCAGCCACCCGTAAAATCTCAAGATTTTACGGTAAAATAAAGTGCGGCGGGCACTTTACCACAACTTTTCCGTTCTTTTCTTGTAAAATGCGGCGCGCAGCGTGGCGAAAAATCACATTTCTGGTTCCTTTCCCTCGGGGTTTTGCTTTAACTGTAGCCTTGCATTTTCACTACCATCTATGCTACTCTGAATACTCCCAGAGGTATGTTATATGTCATCTTTTCATACTTACAACGCACCTCACGCTCTCAGACCAGGGGTGCTGCCACCTCAGGCAGGACTTCTCGGTGGTAATAAAGGTCTGTGAGACCCCATTAATATGTTAGGGTTATATGGGTCTAAGAGACCCAGCCTCGCGGATGATCTATTTATAGCACAGCCCAAATATACTTTTTTTCCTCTGCAGTGCCTCCCCGGATCCTCGTGGCCCTCGCTGGATCCTCCTGGTCCTCGCTGGATCCTCCTGGTCCTCACTGAATACTCCGTACCCTCCACTACGACCTCACAGGATCGTCGTCAACATTCCCATCCCGCTCCGTTCAGCCTCTGGATAGGTCTATGGTGAGCCCGCCAGATATAGAGCCTCAGTGCTCTTCCTGGCATCTTGGACACTGCTGTCAGTTTCCAAGTCCGTTTTTCGTTGTCTTTCTGTTCTACACTACGACGACGACCATCATGCTGGCCATCCGCCCCACACGTGGCGCTCAGCCAATATCTACAGGACTTGGAGTACACTTTGTGAGCCCCAAGAAGGCTCGAGATCCCAAAAAATCGCAGACACTCGTTCACATTCCAGGTGCTAACTCCAAACATAAGCGCCTCGTCGCTCAAATGGCTGCTCTAATGAATCCCCAAATGCTAACTACTCAAACACCGAGTTCTAGTTCTGCGCCAGCTCAACCTGAAGCACCAGCAAACGTTGACGACACTGCAAGCTATTTTTATGACGAGGACGACTCTATGGTCCATGACTACCAGCCCGACAAAGGACCTTGCCCTACAGACCTGGCACCCGAGGACCTGGGGCGCCGTATCCTGCCAGACAAAATGGCAAATAATCTTTATACATCCTGGAAGGCCCTCATACCCACATTGGTAGACCTGCATCTCAAGTACTCGGCAAGAACCCATGGGCACCCTCTTGCAGAAATATGTCTGGTCATATCTGCCTGCGCAAGCTCCAGTTGCGTACAGCGAAGATTCTCTATAGTCTGTCTCTTTTTCGACCGTAAGCAGTTCGTTTCTGATTTGCGGCTCCAGCTGATAAGTCCAGGTTTCCTATATGTCAATGTAATGACGTGCAAATGCTCAACACTCTCGCAAGTCCTCGTACATCACGGCCTTTTTCCAACTGCACCATCTCAACCACGCATGGCAGTCTCCACAGACCTCCTTGCGTTCTACCAGGCATTATTCGAGCGTTCGTGTGATGCTATCCACGCGCTCACCGCTGCCCTGAAGACTCATTATTCCCGCCGAGGATTTCAAATGACCAATGCAGCCGTGAGTTCCGACTAACCAGCCTCATGGGCTCTTCCTCACTTCACCCAGGGCCAAGTCGTTCAAGAGCCATTCCGGCATGGATTGGGTCAAGCTGTTCAGTGGTATGATATTTTACAGACCGAAGTCGAGCGGCAGACTGAAGCCGCGGTACAAATATGTCGAGAGTGTGTCTACGAGGCTCGTAGCCCTCAATGTAATGAGGAGGCTAGCCCGTCTACCCCCAAGCCTTTCAGTACCTCCCTGCTTCAAGGCCAATGTGCCGCCATCCTAATGCAGTGCTGTCCAGCATGCTTTGGAGGTGTGCTATTCGGCAGGCCACTTAGTGAAGGCGGAGATATACACGTTGCAACTGACAGTAACTTCCATCATCGTCATCGACGATCTGCAGGCGACTGCCCGCGCTTCTACGAACCCTCGTATTTCCTTCTGAAGACCCAGGTTGATGAAGTTGGGCGGCGGATCATCTCGAAGCGTAAGCGAGCACCCAAGATCCGCACTTCTGTAGTCCCGGATGAAGCCATTGATCAGTGCGAGAATTCCTACGAAGCCGCGGATGGTAAGAAGCAGAAGGCTGCCATGGAATCGTTTGATGATGCGGGCGTCATGGCCCTTATTTGTCGTCACGACATCCCGCTCTTCTTTGCCAATATCAATTTGCCTGGCGAGCAGCAGAAATATGCAGTATCCCTCATCGAGCACCTATTTTCCCTCTTACCGCAGGAAGCTACCGTCATCACGCTCTACGACATCGGCTGCGTCCTCTCCCGCTCATTATCTCAGGTAAGTAATTCTCTGACAGACAAGATCTCAACCTAATGTGTCACGCAGTATGATATTCTTCCCGAGCCTGTGACTTCGCGGCTTCGATTCGCGACGACAGCCATGCACGCATATGGCCACAAATGGGCCTGTCAACTGGAGTATAACCCTCGGATGTGCAGTGGCCTTGGTCTGTCTGACAGCGAGGGTACTGAGAGGCTCTGGTCGAGGTTTGTCAAGCTGATCGGAATTCAACGGTCGTCGTCTGTAAGTCGCAAGATTCTCATTATGTTCCTTTGTTAATAATAGCGCATAGCGACAGAGGCGTCTTTGGTTGATAGACCGCCAGGCCGGTGCCATCGGACTGGAGATGCGAACAGATCTGGGTGAATGGATCAAATGCTGGCTCAAACGTGGTGTCAATGCCCAGGGTGCAGCGGCTAAAGATGTCCTGAATAAGTGCGGTGTCAAAATCGAAGATCTTGAGGATCAATGGGCGGATCAAAAAAGGTCACAACTCTCCATTCGCGCCCGTATGTCCGTCAAAGTCGCTCGAAGGTCCAACTGACATTTTATTGCAATCAACAGATGCTCCAGCACGCCTGAAGAAAGAGCTTGACGTTGTGCTTACTCTCCAAGCTGACCTCGATGCTTCTGATAGGGCTTTGCAAGCCATGCGCACTGTGGTGGAGAAGGGCTCGGTTACCGAGGAGACACTAGATGCACTTGAGAGCCTCAAGCACAGCCACAACCGTTTGATGAACAAGGTTGAATTATTGTATGCCTCACTTAACGTCCACGACAGATTTCCTGAACTCCAAGGTGTCGACTTAGACTTCGTTCAAACTCTTCTCATGGCTCGTGACCTCAAAATAAATATCCGCAAGCGAGCCATAGGCAGCTTTTTTGAGTGGGATAAACTCGACCGTGCGGTTGGCGGTGCAAATCAGGCCCTTGGTAATATTCCATGCTTCTGTCTTGCTATATCTGAATTGTGACTCATTTTAACAGGCACGAAGCTCCATCAGCAGACTCGCAAAGCCATCACAAAGCGCCAACCAGCTTTGATGACTGTGATCCGCAAGAATAATGGCTACTGCGAGCGTCTCGAGAGCCTCTATGACCCATCTTGGGGTGTCCCGCTCCCCGCTCCTCTTCCTACCAAACTCGCTGACCTTCGAAATGATCCGACGTTGATGGAGGATGTTTGGATCACCCCATCCGTAGGAGATGTCCCCTGTTGGATGGAAGACGCCGATGTACGAGATGGGATACAAGCTTTGCTGAAATGACAGCGATGTCAAGAGGAACAACGCCGTCTTGGGTTCGAAGCCGACAATCTCTGTCGATGGTTTAGAGATGAGTTGGCTGTGCTAGAGGTTGCCCTACGTTCTCCTGCAAGTAAGTCATTCTAGTGTTTCAATGATTGGTACTGATTTTACCAGATCGCACATTTTTATTTCCGCTGCAGCAACAGCGGGATCATGTCCTTCAACTTCAAACTAAATGGGTCACCCCGCTAGCGTCCTCTATCCGCTTCGTCAGCAATATCACAGTGGCAACCAATCTCGCGATCACTCTTTGTGAGGGACAATCAGAAGGTGGTGTCTACAGGCTCATACCAACCTTGTTGGCGCTCGATGAACCCTCCCCCGAGGATGACGCAGACGAATTTATAGTGCCTGCATTCGAAGAAGCCGTTGAAGAAGCGGTGCTCATGGATGTTTTACCCCAAGGTACCATTAGTGATGACGAGGATGATGAAGTCATACCAGAACCTGAATTCACGATAAGCTGGGAACTGCCAGAGGTATGTCTTCGTCTGTAAATATGTACTTGGACTCATCAAATATCATAGAATCTTCGCACAGATACTTTCAAAGTTCCTCGTGAAGAGGATCACGTCATAGTACCATCCTCAGGCGCCCCCCTGACTCGGGTGCGACCAGCGCAGGATGGTTTTCCCTGTCAAGTGTTCGACGCAAGGGATCAGTCCTTCCTGGCACAGCCCACTGCCCGCCTCAACGATACGTGTATCAATGGTTGTGTGGCACTGTTATACTCTGAGATACTGACAAGTTCACGCATGCGGCCTTGTGCCATTTTTTCCACACACGACCTCCCGCGTATCCGATACAACGTGTCGGATGAGATACTATGGCGGAATACTGCATGGACGTCCTTTTGGGACAAAGATGTTTGGATCTTACCTATTCACCATCCCTCACCAGTTGGACACTGGGTACTCTGCGCAATATATATCCCAACTAAAGAGCTCCACCTCTTCGACAGCCTGGCTGAACAACGGCCATGGAAAAATGATGTGAAGGTCAGCACTAGATGATGTTATCCGCTGTTGAACTAACAATGATTCGATACAGGACATTATGAATCTTATCGCGCGTTTATCATTCATCGCCCACCAACGCCGTGGCTCACACCGTGTCGATCTTAAAGGCTGGGTAGCCCGCCCGCTAACAGTCCATCCTCTACAGACCAACAGCTACGACTGTGGGCTCTGGGTCCTAGCGGCACTTGCGGCTGTCTTGCAGGGAGCTCACACACCAGGTATATACGAGAAGGATATGATAGCATTTAGACACTATGTATGCACACTTGTAGTAAGGATACCTGCTCCGTGAATATATTCGTAGTTTGTTTACAACCCTCCCAACAATGTGTGAAGATGGTGTTGAGTATGATACACCACTGCGTGAACACCATCCAGAGTATGATACACCACTGCGTGAACACCGTCCAGCACAGTTGGGAACTTGAAACAAGGAACGAATAAGATTCCATACACCTGCGTGAATATCATGCAATTGTATGATGGCAACTGCGAAAACCTACCTGATTCACGGCAGGCGGTCCTTAATACATGAGATAGAGGTTGGCGTGAACATTAAGTCATCTGGCAGTGATCTGGACACACGATCCGAGTCAATCATCAATCCTGTTCCCGCTCACACTCATTTAGCATTCCAAACCTCTCGTAGAGCAAGCTGAACAACCAATTGATCACTTGTGATCTGATCCCTCGTGTAGTTGTGGGTAACCCAGGCTTATAATTGTGGAAGGTTTGCTGAACGTTGCAATTCAGCGACTTGGAACCATTGAAACACTCACAACTCAACGAAGCAATCAGAGGTATACCAGTCTTACGCACAGTGAAGCGACTGTGCATGCTAAAATGCAGTGTTTTTCTATCTCATCTGAAGCAGGGTCATAAGATCTTCAGTGTTCACCTCTTTGTAGCCATACATATAGCTTTACGAAGCTGCAGAGACATGTTTTCTGTATGATAGGACTTTAATACGAGTTTTATTTGCAATGTGATTGGTTGAGGAGGCTCTTGAGATGTTGCGCCCAACATCCTTCCGCTCAATCAGCATCAATGAATCTCAAGATCGTGACAAGGTGATCGTAACAAGCGACTGCGAATCTTTTTTCATGACACTACCCACACTATCATTGCAGCTTCGTAAACTCTATAGAATTGTACAGTAACGGGAGATACTAACTAAGAGGCGGGAGATACTAACTAAGAGGCTGAGTAAGAGACTGGGTACTAGGCTGGGTACTAGGCTGGGTAAGGACAGCTATCTGTGGGATCAAATCACTGGCATCTACTCTCTCAGGCTGTGCCGAAGGTGGGGCTTGTGCGGATGATCCCTCAGGTATGGTTGGTGCTGGCGGTGGTGTTGCTGGAGCGGATGAAGAACACCGCTGTGCTGCCTTCAGCCTCCAGGAGGGAGGTGCAAGTGGTAATTCAACGAACATCCGGACATTCCGGTGACGGAGGCGAGGGGGTGCAGATGGTTCAGGCGAAGGCTCTGGTCCAGGTGAAGGCTCTGGTCCAGGTGAAGGCTCTGGTCCAGGTGAAGGTTCCGGTTCAGGTGAAGGCTCGGGAGAATAAACTACCCGCCGACGAGAGCGACGAGGAGGCGACGGTGCAGGTGAAGGCGACGGAGATGGCAGTTGACGACGAAGACCCTTACGGTCAATCCTACCGTCAACGAAAATGCGCCGACCACGAGTATGGGGTGATTCAGGTGCAGGCGCTTCGCCCAAAATGATGGGCTCATGGGAAGCCAGTAGTCTTTGGCAGGTTTTTTCAGCGGTGATGTGTTGCACGGTGAGTAAATTGTTTTTGAGGGCGTCCGCGAGTATGGCCCGGCTGGGAAGGGTGAGATCGTGGATCCCCTTGCTCCTGAGGAGTGTGCTGCGTTTTTCGCCAGGCACGAGGACATTCTCAGGGTAGTTGTGGATGACGCATCCACGGCGGGCAAGGAGGGAGGGTAGTGTCGTCCAGGGGAAGTTTCCCCCTCGCCCGTTTAGTGAGCCTGTAGAACCGTCAGTCATTCCACACTTAGACAGACTATCAACTTACCACATAGGGCCATCAAGCCTCCAGTGATGCAAGGGATCCCATCAGCCTCCCTCCAACGTTCCAGTTCATCTTCTGCCTCTCTTCGCCTCTCAAACCATTCTTCCAACACCTTCTCATTCATCCACCCGCGCTGCGATCCGATCTGACTGACGAGGCGATCCAGCTTGTCGAAATCCATGGTGGTTGCCATCGTGGGCGATGGTGGATAATAGGTGCCAGGAAGATCGTAGTGAAGGAAGAAGGAGTGTCGCAAAGGTGGCCCTCGGCATCGATGAAAAGAGAAGTCGTCAGCATCTGGTATTACATAGTGAAATGTGAAAGGGATTGTGGGGTGTAACACGTAACATTTCCCAAATTCACACGGTTTAGGTAAATCTACACCAGTACATCTCACACTGACTGAGGCCTTCGAGGCAATGTTCACCCCGATATTGTGGAACGGTACTCAGAAAACGTTGTCGACACTCTGCACAAGAAGAACCTGTTACTCCTCGGAGAAGATCGATCGTTACCTTACGACACTCCTGCTCAAGACATTCCCAAAGCGCAAGAACATGTACTGTCCCCAAGCAGTCTGCAGGACCATCATCCCTGACACCTTCCGTGTTTTGCTCTCCCAACATCATCGGTCCTAATCTGTTTGAGCTCGTTCTTGTTCATGAGCGTGGTAGCCTGTGGTCAAATTAGCCTGCAGGCTGAACCTCACCGCACCCCTCTGCCAATGGCTTTGAGCCTTTGACTACCATCCCAGAAGCCGTCAACGACCCTCTTTTAATCATCCAAATGTAAGTAAATTAATTCCAAATCTGCCGATCACCTTCTGACTTCGGTTTTGATACTGCAGATCCCTCTGGATCCCTTCATCGGACCAAATATTCTAGGATCTCAAATGTTAATATCCAAGCTCAAACGACTTCCCTCTCCTGCCTCGTTGAACCGACAAATGCCCAGCCTCGTTGGACCGACAAACGCCCACACATCCCTGTACGTTCCAAGAGGTTTTATTTTATTTTCATGTGCGCTCCAGCCTCACACTAATTCATCATTCTAGTCATGACCCAAAAGTCATCGCCCAAAATGCAGGACTCCCCGCCTCCTGGCTATTCAGCCTCCTCACCGCTCCCAGAGTGTGGTGGAAGCGAGGGAGAATTCCTCGAGGAACAAGTTGGTGGAGGCAGGCGCCTACCGACTCCACCGCCAGTACAGACGCCAACTCGACTGCGCGGTACCATCAAAGCTACCGACCGGGACGTTGGTCTGGTCAAGGAGGCATCTGCGCATCGGGCAAGGCTGGTTCTCCAAGAGGCACCAGCTGACGTCGAGGCCCACAACCAGTCACACCAACAATCTGTCCAACCTCGCCAACAATCTGTCCAGCCTCGCCAACAATCTGTCCCTCTCCCCGCTTTCATCCCTCCAGTTCATCGCGCACGCAGCCTGGGTGTGCAGCTTCAGCCAACATCGCCAACATCGGCAGATGTTTTTTTACGAGCCTCCTCTCTCCATGGCCGACCAGCAACCTCGTCAGAGGCTCCCACAGCCCCCGCAGCCCAACATGTTGACAAAGCCTGCTGTTTTTGAGCAGGAATCTTTCGACTTCAACGGTATGATTAACGGCAGTTTTGATCACCAGTGATGACAACATCCCTGGATCATCTACCATGCAACTCACCATCCCTTCGACACGTGTCATACCTCCAACCCCTGCAGGCCTGGGGGACTGGGACATGCCCACAGGCCTTGGGGACTGGGATATGGATATGGCCCCCACCTTTCCACCTTATGCGGCTTTTTCTGAGGACACTGTCATGGACGCTGGCATGAGCGAGGGTAATGTTAGCCCTTCCTTTGTGAGAGGCCGAAGAAAACGACGAGACGAATGCCACCCATCAAGAGGGCTTCGTAGAGCTTGAATGTGTCATCAATGACCTCGCCCACAACACGTCAATCCCTTCCTCCCAAATTATTTCATTATGGAACAAGAGTCACGCACGCACCGTCAACAATGTGAACCACTGGAATGCATATGCCAATTACTTTAAAAATAACCTCAAGCAGGAGCTCAGCAGGCTCGGGGACGAGGCTCCAGAGGCTCCTGGCACGCCAAGTGAGTATCTGTCTCTTCTTTCGATGTTCTTATGCTAATATCATAACATAAAGGTGCTAGCGTGCACCGCAAGTGCTACAATGCTTTCAAGGAATCATTCCCAAACGACTGGCAGGATATTCTCGAGATTTGTGGTGAGACTGCGTTATTGCTCGGTGGACCTCAGACAGTTTCCGCGCGGGGACAGGAGTTCCAAAAATTTACGAAGAAGCTCTCTGGATTAGCACGTACAATGATGTTCTCTTACTGCCATGTTTCTGAAGGCATACAGATGGACACTGGAGCGGCCCGTTTCGGCTTCGAGGCTGCACTTGTAGCCTGCAGCAAAGTCATCAATCAAGACGGTTCTTTGGGCATGGCCCATACAACGTCTGGAGCTGCCGACGTAAGTATATGTTAAAGTCACTTGCACATTATCTGATATCTCGTTCAGTTTTGGTTGTCACTGTGCAAGGCTGACGAAGATACCATCATTGGCCATTTGAAAGCGCAAGTATAGTGAGTGCTCTTGTGGATCTTTTGCGGATTGAGTTCTCATTCAAACCCCAGTAACCTTGCATCTCTGGCTGTGGTCGAAGAGGCCTTTGAGGACGAGGTTGTGGAGGTCCAGGGCAACCCCCGCGTGGCTTCAAAACCCCCTGCAGAATGTATCGACATCGCAAAGAATGGACTCAAGTGGATTAAGGACGAGATATCTCGTCAAATCGGTATGTTTAATGTATTGGGTTTATCGGTATGCTGACAGTGAGTAACAGACATCCACGGTGGCAAACTGTCATCCCTCAAGATTTTTCCATGGAAGACGCTGCCATCAGAGCTCGTGCGCAATTCATTGGTCATCAAGGGCTATCCAGACGATGTGCTCCTCCCCGGTGGGGTTCATTCCAACGCCAATAAAGGAATTGCAAACTTGACTCTCAAGGAGATCGGCACCATCGTCGTGGCGTTGCAGGCTGGCACTATGTACGTCACAAAGGTTTCCGGAGCTAAGCAAGGTATGTTTATTATGATCATCCCAGCCTCCAGTCTCACCACTGATCATTTCGCACAGCTAAACTTGTGACTTCTGAAGTCCCAATACTGGTGGGTGCGCCCCCTGCAGGAGATTCTGAGCACGCAGCAGGACGTCACCTCTTTGCGAACGGCCAATCCGATCGCCGGGGGCTTCCCCGCCAGAAGCCGAGCATGGCTACTACAAGGATCAAAGGTAAATCTGTGAAGAAGGCATCAACGCTCCCTGCTTCCACAATATCTCTTTCGGAGGACGAGCCTCAGGCAGCTGATGATTCAGATGTGGACGCCTCTCCTGTCCGTCCCACTGTCAAGCCTCCCCCCTCCCACGAGTTCATAGTAGTCCAGCGCCCGACGGGCCAGAAGAAGGTGGAGAAGAAGGCTGACAAGAAGGTTGAGAAAAAGGTCGAGAAAAAGGCCGAGAAGAAGGTTGGCAAGGAGGTCATTTCCTTGATGTCTAGTGATGCTCGATCTGGCTCAGAGGACCCGGACGAAGACCTGGATGAAGACCTGGATGACGCACCCAATGACGACTCGGATTACGAAGACAACGAGTCCTCCAAGAAACGGAAGGCGAAATCAGAAGGCCCCTCTCGAGCATCCAAGAAGAGGGTCTCACCAACTGTTGCGCCTGTAGAAAAGGCTGTCCCAGCGAAGAAGACGAAAGGTAAGGCACCTATCCGGCCCAAGGCCAAGGGGCCAGCTGAGAAGAGAGCCCCGCCGGAGGCTGCAGAGTCCTCTGGAGATGAACGGGTTCCGGACATGGCAGGACGAGGTATGATTGTTGTTCTTTTCTCCCGCCAAGTGACTGACATACTCTGCAGTACAACTTGCAAAACGCTTGCGGGATGGTCCTGTCGACTCTCCCAATGACAGTGGCGCCAACAAAGCTGCAGCAGAGACTCACTCGAGTAATGCTGATACCACTAACATCATCGCCACACGCCCCTTGTCGCCCTCTTCACCCTCGCCAACTCGTCGTGGTTCAGCAGACTTGGTCCCGGACAACATCATGCGTGGGGAATCTCTTGCGCCAGTCGCTAAGCCGCTGAAGGATCTTCAACTCAGCTGAGGGTGCAGCTGATATAATTGTTGAAGGGAGGAAAATATGAGTGCGATATGTTCGTCCCTTAGGGGAAGCGGAGAAAGCAAATATCCACTGGTCAACTCTAGGGGGAATGCGCAAAGCGCGTGATAAGGCGAAAGCGCGGGAACAAAGGCGCTATAGGCGCGCGAAGCGCGGGATAGTCACGCGTCGAAAAGCGGAACTGGGTGAAAGCGGTATGCGAGCGATAGTGAGATGTTAAGACGTGTACTGAGACGCTGATAAGACAACTGATGCGGATATGGGAGCCCCTTCAGTGACAAATCCCGTATTATACGGGTCACCCGACCTACATAATATCCCGTGTAATACGGGCCAGCGGATTATGGGCCGATGTTATGTATATTCCCGATGTTGACGGGTGGGCCGGGAGGCATATTATTTCCGATGGAGACGGGTGGGCCCATCTATGCTAATGTTATATATATCATCGATGATAGCGGATGGGCCGGGAGAAATATTATTATGGAGATGGGTGGGCCCATGTGGGTAATATGTAGAGTAGGATTGACATATATTATAGACCTGAGGAGAGATGTATAGCAAATAGTATTATATAGACGTGTGGGCCGACGTATTAGTATTATTTTGTAGACGGATGGGCCGAGGGAGCGGTGAAATATTTATTAGATAGACGGGTGGGCCGACGTGGCGTAATATCAGATAGACGGGTGGGCCGAGGGTGAGGGGAATTATTTATTACATAGACGGGTTGGCTGATGTGGGGTAATATTAGATAGACGGGTGGGCCAACGTGGGGTAATATCAGATAGACGGGTGGGCCGAGGGTGAGCGGAATTATTTATTACATAGACGGGTGGGCCGACGTGGGGTCATATTAGATAGACGGGTGGGCCGACGTGGGGAATTCTACATAGATGGGTGGGCCGACGTTGGGTAATATTAGATAGACGGGTGGGCCGAGGGTGAGCGGAATTATTTATTACATAGACGGGTGGGCCGACGTGGGGTCATATTAGATAGAAGGGTGGGCCGACGTGGGGAATTCTACATAGATGGGTGGGCCGACGTCGGGTAATATTAGATAGACAGGTGGGCCAAGGGTGAGGTGAATTATGTATTAGATAGACGGGTAGGCCCAGATACATATCATATAGACAGATAGGCCTAGGTATTGTACATTTTTACGAGTTTCGAGGCTCGAGTTAAGAAAATTCAAATTTAAGATGATATACATTTTTGTTGTCTTGAAATACCGAGACCCAAGACCCGAGATTCGGCACTCGGTAGTCGGTGATGAAATGAGTACAGAAATACATAAGATAATACACATTGTTCTCAGAAATCACAAGTTTCAAATGTCGATTTGTAAATCACGAGTCACAAGTCTCGAGACTCGAATCACCGAGTACCGAGTACTGAGAACCGAGTATTGACACCCGACACCCGGAATTCGGCACTCGGCATGCGAGACAAAAGATTGGAAACAAAACTCGAAAGTACTGACTACCGAATACCAAGTACCGAGTACTGAATCTCGGGTCTCGGTACTCGGTATTCGGTACTCGACACGATGCTCGAAACTCGTAAAACTGTTTCAAATCACCGAGTACTGACCACCAAGTACCGAGTACCAAATCTCGGGTCTCGGTACTCGACACAATGCTCAAAACTCGTACAACTGTTTCGAATCACCGAGTACTGACTACCGAGTGCCGAGACCCGAGATTCGGTACTCAGTACTCGGTAGTCAGTACTCGGTGATTCGAAACAGTTTTATGAGTTTTGAGCATCGTGTCGAGTACCGAATACCGAGTACCGAGACCCGAGATTTGGTACTCGGTACTCGGTACTCGGTACTCAGTAGTCAGTAGTCAGTACTCGGTGATTCGAAACAGTTTTATGAGTTTCGAGCATCGTGTCGAGTACCGAGTACCGAGTACCGAATCTCGGGTCTCGGCACTCGGTAGTCAGTACTTGGTGATTCGAAACAGTTTTACGAGTTTTGAGCATCGTGTCGAGTACCAAATACCGAGTACCGAGACCCGAGATTCGGTACTCGGTACTCGGTACTCGGTACTCGGTAGTCAGTACTCGGTGATTCGAAACAGTTTTATGAGTTTCGAGCATCGTGTCGAGTACCGAATACCGAGTACCAAGACCCGAGATTCAGTACTCGGTACTTGGTATTCGGTAGTCAGTACTTTCGAGTTTCGAATTTTGAGTTTTGTTTCCAATCTTTTGTCTCGCATTGAGATATGAGCAAAATACTATATACCGGGTGAATTTCAGTATTGGAAGTTTGATGCTTTCGATGTTTTTGATGTCGGGTCTTGATGCTTTCGGGCATTAACATGTAGATAGCCCTCGATCTCAGGGGTGTGGCAAAATTTAGATTGTCTGAAACAGATATAATTTGAGTGAGATATATGCAAAATACCACACACTGACTACCGAGGGCTGAGTACCAAGTGCCGAGTGCTGAGTGCCGAGTTCCGAGTTCCGAGTTCCGAGTTCCGAGTGCCAAGTACCCCGATGCTCTCGGGTATTAACACCCAGATAGCCCACGCTCTCAGGTGCCTGTCAGAATTTAGATCATCTCAAACAGATGTGATTTGAGTGAGATATGAGCAAAATACTATATACCAGTTGAATTTTGGCATCAGAAGTTCGATGCTTTCGATGTTTTTGATGTCGGCTCTCGATGCTTTCAGGCATTGACATGCAGATAGCCCTAGATCTCAGGGATTCATCAGAATTTAGATAGTCTTAAATAGATATGATTTGAGTGAGATATATGCACAATCCAAGATACAGGGTGAATGAGTCCCAAGTGTTGAGCGCCAAGTGCTCAGTTCTGAGTTCCGAGTGCCGAGTGCTGAGTGCCGAGTGCTGAGTGCCCCGATGCGTTCAGGCATTCAATCACTGTCAGGAGGTGTTCCCTCATCCACCTCAGTGCCATCAGTGTTGCAATCAAGCTTTCTGCCGTGTGCTGAGTGCCGAGTTCCGAGTTCCGAGTGCCCCGATGCTTTCGGGTATTGACACCCAGATAGCCGTCACTCTCAAGGGCCCGTCAGAATTTAGATCATCTCAAACGGATGTGATTTGAGTGAGATATGAACAGAATACTATATACCGGGTGAATG